CAGCTTCTACAATTCTTAGTCAACTTGTCTCCTGCCTGGGAATTCTGGGAGATATAGTTCCAAATTCCAACACTTTTGCAAGGCATCAGGTTAAGAAGACTAGTCCAGACTTATTATCATTCCACACTCTATTCCTTTCTAATAGTTTCATTTGGCAACATCCTTTGTGATAGAGGTTTGACAGAACTAAACCAGCACCATAAATATTGGTTATTCTCATAAGAATACCACAATTTATACAGCACCTCAAATGAGGTTCAAAGCAGTCTACATATATTATATTATAAACTGCATCAAAAGGTAAAATTCTGAGAAGGTAATATTCTCTTGAATTATATACTTAACACATGGAATTTAATAACAGGACAACATAAATGGATTCTTCATGCCTTTGGGCATGCCTGTGGGAAGAATCCAGAGAAAGAAATATTTTGGGGAATATTAAAAAGGCAGAATATATTTCCCCAAAGGATCTTAAAGGCAGAAAAGCAAGCCCAGTTTTTTTTAATAGCCCCAAGCAGAAACTAGAGGCCAGCTTTTAGAAATGCAGATGTGTGATAATCCTATTCAGGAAGGTTGGAGCCAGGGAGCTAAAAGAAACTGATGAGATTAGGAAGACAAAGACCCCTAAAATCTACATACCCCTACCCAAACTCTAAGAACAGGAAACATAATAGGATTAACCCACCAATACCAAAAGGGCACACTCAGACTCAGGTCAAAGTACATGATACAGGAAAAACAAAGCCTCAAACAGGAACAGGAAACAATTTCAAAAGCCCAAGAAGGTATAAAAACCCACCACTCCCAGCTACTTGTGGTCAGCTTTTCCAGAGCCACGTTTCTGTCTGGCTTTGCTCTTCAATAAACTACAACATTTCTAAAGCAGTTTCCATTTTGTTTATTCCCAGCTTGGACTTTCAACATGCCCTTGCTATAGCTAAAAGATTGAAATTGCAGCATTGGAAAGATTTACTCCATTTACTCAGTGGATGGAAGATTTGATTGCACTTGCTACTTGCCTATAGATGAAAACTTTGCATGGACAAATATAATGAAATATGAGACTCATTTATACAAAATGAAGTAGACTAAAACATGACAATTCTATAAGTGTATTAGAACTGAACACACATAAATGCCTAGTGTTTATATTAAATAATTATATAGAGAAATCTGTTTATTCTAACAGTTATCCTTTATTTTTTCTGTTGTAATTTTTTATTCATTTTTATGCATTTGTTGTGTACTTTTAATGTATGTATTTTTGTGTCTTTTGCTTTTCTTCATTTTCTCTTATTTTAAAAGCAATAAACATTATTTTAAATTTAAACAATTTCATAATGTGCATTAAAATAATTTAAATGGTTAGTAATTATGCACAAATTGGTTATCCTTTTCATATCCTTAAATGAAAAGCTAATACAATGGCTTCCTATATTTGCCTAATTTGTTCATGGCTGTAGAGTAATAATCTCCTGAAGCTGGTTTTAATGCCATGAAACACAGAAACTGCTATTAGTATTGTTATTATTTCCAAGGAAAGACATTACGAGATTTTGTCTCAAATACAAAAATGATTCAGTCTACTTTGTATATACTTTGTAGATCAACTGGGATCTACAAGGTTATAACAAATGTCAAATAAAACTCCTGTATGTACTATATTTCGGAGAGTTGTCTTTTAGAACCTTGGTCTCTGAAATGAAGTGTACATTTACAACAGGGAGTACACAAATTGATCCATTGGATTGTAGGAAGCAAATAGTACAAAGCCTATTTATATGTATTATCTAGAAAAATAAGAAATTAAACTATATAAATGCTATAATATTGTATATAATATTTTATATACATTTTAATATACTATTTATAATCAAAATCACATGAAGTATTAGTACCACTTTATAAAGCCTTAGTAAGGCGACACCTGGAATACTGTATCCAGTTTTGGTCACATTACAAAAAAGATGTTGAGATTTTGGAAAAAGTGCAAAGAGCAGCTAAGATGATTAAAGGTCTGGAGAATAAAGCATATGAAGAACGGTTGCAGGATTTGGGTTTGGCTAGTCTAGAAAAAAGGACCAGGGGAGACATGATAGCAGTATTCCATTATCTGAGAGGCTGCCACAAAGAGGATGGGGTTAATTTATTTTCCAAAGCACCAGAAAGCAAGACAAGAAACAATGGATGGAAACTAATCAAGGAGAGAAACAACCAGGAATTAAGGAGACACTTTCTAAAAGTGAGGACAATTAACCAGTGGAACAGCTGGCCTTCAGACATTGTGGGTGCTTTCATCACTGGAGGTTTTTAAGAAGAGACTGGACAGTCACTTATCTGAAGTGGTATAGGATCTCCTGCTTGAGCAGGAGGCTGGACTAGAAGACCTCCAAGGTCCCTTCCAGCTCTATTCTGATTATGTAATATATTCATTCAGTAATAATATATTAACATGCACATATTGGAGTCCATGTTCTAACTTCTTTTTATTGATTGGATTGCACTGACAAAAAGGTTTGGAGACTACTTTGGAAAATCGCATATAAAACTTCAGGCTAGACACTAATGTCATGTTTCTTCAATCTTCAAATTAGCGAAAACAGTACTTAATTTACTTAATTCTACATATTATGAATACACAGGGCAAAAAGCAATAGCTTCTGGGCATATAAAACAAGAAAGCAAATAACTTCAATAGTTTTATCACTATTACATGATGCAACAGTTGCACCAAGCTACATTAGCCTCACTATAGAACAGCTGGTATGTTAGGAGAAAACATAAACAATGCAATGCCACAAGGGAGAATTCTCTCACAAACAAAATTATCAGTGTTACAGTATAAGAACATTACTGAAAGAAAAATGTCAACCATGTTATGATTTGGCTCATAAATACAACAGGATACATGATGATATTCTCCCCCAAATTTGTTCATTAGTGGGATATGGTTTTGCTCTTTGCTGACTACAAAGATCCTGTTTTCTGACATTAACCTTATCATTGCAGATTTATCTTTGGCTACCAAAATGCAAAAGTTTCTAAAGAGAGAGGGGGAAGTTCTGGGGCTATAGAAAAAAGCACCGATTCCTCCATTAAAATATAGACAATCATTTGTACACAAAAGATCTGAGGATACTTCAGTGGTGCTCTTCTACTTCATCAACCAAATCCAAGAAGCATCTCTAATAATCAACTCCCAGACATGCATACTGTTTCTCTGCAGAGATTACAAAAGAGCAAGATGACAATTATGCAGGCCTGGAAGTAAAAGATTCTCCAGGTGACAAAGTTTCCAGGGAAACACCCGCTCTATCATAAATAAAAGCATATTCTAATACAGTGGTTCTCAACCTTTTTAATGCCGCGACCCCAACCGGTTGTAAGTCGAGGACTAAACCGGTCGTAAGTCGAGGACTACCCAACCGGTCGTAAGTCGAGGACTTTCCCTGCCCGGGAGCGCCGCACATGCGTGGTTCCGCCCCCTGCACCAGCCGAGGTGTAGCTGGCAAGCGGCAGAGACGGAGCAGGCCGACCACCAGCTGGCCCAGCCCAAGGGAGGTAAGGCACCCACCGGAAAAGGGGAAAAAATGGCGGACAGCCTTGCTTGGCGACCCCCGTGAAATGGTCGATCGACCCCAAATGGGGTCCCGACCCACAGGTTGAGAACCACTGTTCTAATAAGAAGGGTTATTTACAGATACAGTAGGTGGCCTATTAAGATGTGCTGCTAAGCATCGTATGAAAGGGGCAGGGAGGGCAGGGAAAGGAGAGAAGGGCAAGGGAAGGGCAATTTGCTCAACTTGCTAATTATACACACCCATACACACCTCACCTCAGTCCCTAAGGCAGTGTTTCTCAACCTTGACCATTTTAAGGCACGTGGACTTCAACTCCCAGAATTCCACAGCCAGCAAGGCTGGCTGTGGAATTCTGGGAGTTGAAGTCCACGTGCCTTAAAATGGTCAAGGTTGAGAAACACTGCCCTGAGGCCACCTCATATTTACTTTCCCTCCGACAAAAGGCAACGGAGTCCGCCAAACGCAGGAACCGAAGTTGCAGCATTCTCACGTGGCCTCGCTGTCGGGAAGGAAAGGACCTGTTGAATTTCTCCCCGCCAGGCCCCAACCACAAGGAGAAAACGCAGCGGGCAAAGCAACCTCCCCCTCAAATAACTCGGATTGGTCCAGTCCACCCTGCCCTCTGCGAGACCCTTGGCCCAATGGGGAGGCGAGGCCTGGCGGACGCAACGATTTCCCTCTGCCCCTCTTTTTTTAACTGCAGTCCCGAAGGTACCTGGAGGAGACGGGAGCGGCGGCGACGCCGCGGCAAGTTTCTCTTGCTCTTCGGCCCCGCTAGGGCAGTAATGGTCACCGCTGCCTCCGCTTTCCGGGCCTCCGAGCGCGGAGGATTCGAACGGGGTATCCTCGGGAACGGCCGCTTCGTCCGACATCGGAAAGGAAGACAAAGAAGCCCCCCGAAGTCGACCGAGGAGAGGCGAAATGATCCGGAAGCAGCCGAGAAAAGCCGAAGACGCTCTGCTTCCTCTTGAGAGCGGGCCGCTTCTCAGGCCTCCCCCCCACTACGGAGTTCCCGCCTAGCCGGCCGCCAACGAGAAAAGTCCTCGTCGGGCGGCGACGGAGCGTTTCCCGACGACAGAGAGCGAAGCAAGGAGAGGAAACACGGCGACCCGTCCCGGAAGTGCTGGTCTCCATGGAGACCGCTCCAGGAAGGACGCGTCGTCATAGTACCGGGAGAGTTGCCCCACCTCCTTCATTTCTCCCCCTCTTGTGGGAATGATGGACAGTAACACGATTTTGCGGACGGATGTCGCGGACGACGAGGAGGAGGACGAGGACGAGGAAGAGGAGGAGGAAGAAGAAGAGGAGGAAGAGGAGGAGGAAGAAGAGGAATATGAGGAAGAAGAAGAAGAGGAGGAGGAGGAGGGTGAGTCGCTGCCCCGCCGCCGCCGTCGCCGCCGCCGCCACGCTTCCCTTAAGTCTCAGTCTTCAATCAAAGAAGGCAGCCGAGGCTCGGCTGCATCCGAAGCTGTGCTCGTGCCCGAATCGCTGCTCGAAGCCGAAGTCAAAACTCCCACCATCGTTGGTCCCTTGTATTTATCCTGGACTCCCGAGGAGGTGGCTGAATGGATCGGCGACCTGGGCTTTCCTCAGTACAAGTTAAGATCGGGTTTCCTTGCAAGTGCCAATCATTGCGAATAAAACGTCATTTACAAGTCATTAGTCCAGGGCTTTTCAACCAGTGGTACGGGGACCACCTGGGGTACATTGGCACCTGGCAGGGGGTACGCGACCATCCTAGAAAAGTGGTAGCGGGGGAGAGGAATGAGCTGAACCGGTGGCAGCACCGCACAAGCCTGAGCGAGAGATGGCTGGAGCTGCAGGGCTGTCAGGGCTCAGCCGAAGCGCCAGGATCAGCCCAGGCTCCAGCTGGAGCTCAGCGCTGATCCTGGTGCTTCTGCTAAGCCCTGAAGAAGCACCAATCAGCTGGAAAGCAGCACTGATTCTGGTGGTTCTGCTGAGCCCAGAAGAAGCGCCGATCAGCTGGAATGTTGCCTTATTTCCAGGGTCTTGTGATTTACATTCAGATGCTTGGCAACTGATTCATATTTATGACGGTCACAGTGTCCCAGGGTCATGTGAAGTGACCAAAACCTGCTGCAACCACCCAGCAGACGGGGGGAATAAAAACCAAACACCCCCCCATCCCACCCCCACTGCCGATCCTCAACAGAAATGCTCACAACAATGAAAACCTCGGACAGGAGGAAGAGTGCCGCCGGGCGGGCAGGCAGGTGTCTTGCGGGGCACTTTTTTCAGTGCCATTGTAACTTCAAACAGTCACTAAGCGAACTGTTGTAAGTTGAGGACTACCTATACTTTATCACTTTTTTCCTTTTTTTTTTTTTTTTGGGTCATCAAGTTTTTGACACCTTGCTAGGCGACTGGTGGTACTCGGATGTTGCCATATCCTAAAAGTGGTACAATGGGTGAAAAGGCTGAAAAGTCCTGATTAGTCAGTATAACTACTAGTAAGCTAAAATTAGGTTCCATATCTCTTGTTTAGATTTGTTGGTCTATCAACCTATTGCAATATGAAGATGAGTTCTGTGGCACTTAAAAATGTAAAGGAGGTCCCAAAATTTTGTCTTTTGGATATTCATAAATCATTTTTTTCATATTTTTGTAGGTGCTGCTAGCTGGTTAATTGGAAGAACAGAACATTTGAAGTTAATAGTAATAATTTTTTATTTTGTTTTAAATAGGAGTGTTTTACTACAAATTTTATCTCAGGACGGAAACTCATATATGTAACGTGTTCAAATCTACCACAGATTGGAATTACTGACTTTGAACATATGAAGGTGAGAACATATATTCATTGTATCTTTCCTAGAGTAAAAATGCTATACTTAACGTTTTGTGCATATTGCAAACTGACAAAAACAATAAGATGAGTTAAGCGCAGGCTGGTTTTCCTACTCATAGTATGATAGCTTTATTTGACACTTAGTGCTTCTGCAGCAGCTTTTGTTCTCCCAGATTTGTGACATCTATTAGGCATTTATTCAGTCAGTCAGTCATTTTTCACAAATAGATGAAGTTGCAACAGTCTTGTCTTTTATGAAGAAGTAACCAAGATGTGGTGGGCAAATAATATTTTTTCATATTTTCCTGTTTTTATGTTACATCTCCCTTTAACTCTTTGTCATCAAAATCTAAAAAAAATTACAGAAATAGTTTTTCGCAGTAGCGACTTGAGCCTGCAAAACGCTCCTAGATTGGGGCTGAAAGGCAAATGTAATCATAACAGTAGACCAGGTGCTCTATTAGACATTTATATGGTATAGTGGTTACTAGCCTGCAAAACAAGAGATTGTGAGTTTCAGTCCCACCTTGCGCATGAAAGCCAGCTTTGGTCTAGTCACTCTTTCTCAGCCCAGCCTTCCTCGCAGGGTTGTTGTTCTTGGGGAAAATAGGAGGAAGTTATTATCCATATTCATGCCTTGAGTCACTTATAAAGTAACAAAGATGGAATAAAAATCTAATAAATAAGTAAATACTTATTTTGGTTACTTACTCAGTTTGGTGTACAGTAGTGCTTAAGGCATCAGACTGAAACCCAGGAGACCATAAATTCTACTCCTTCATTTAGGCACACAGCCAGCTGGATGACCTCAGGCTACTCCCTTTCCCTCAGCCCTAGGAAGGAGGCAATGGCAAGCCTCTTCTGAAAAATCTTGCCAAAAAATTTGGCAAGGGATTTATTTGCTCAGGCAGTCTCAGAGAGTTGCATGCGATTGAACAGAAGAAGAAAAAAATAACCATATAGTTATTTTAAACTAAAAGGATCCTGTATGGAAGAATCCATTAATTATATGTTTTTGTTCACATAGATAGGATGTTGCCATGGCACTGTTGACTATTGATGATTTTACTTTTTGTATTATTTTTTTCTTTTTGTACTGACTTTTCTGCAGATGTTTAACTGGTAAATATTTAAGAGTACAGTATTTTAGTGTTTGTTTAGAAATTAAGAATAGTTGCTTAAATTAGAATCTTAGAAATGTATGCATATTAAGATGTTATTCTTCTGTTACAGACATATTTTCCAGCTTTCTTTACTGAGAATGAAAAGGATTTGTATGTCCATGTTTCTTTATTGTGGCAAAGCCCATTTTAAGCCTTATGGTATATAAAAGATTAAGAACCAAAACTACACATAACAGTGGTACATTTATATGATAGTATAAACTGCACTGGATTACTGTGATTGTTTTCTAGAATTTTTTCCTCTTTTTTTCTTTGCAGGAAATTTCAAAGCATGTACGAGAACTGCTGCAAATTGAAGATCCACTTTTTGAAAGAAGTATCTCTCTACCACCTCGAGATAACGTTGGATTGTTCTTAGAACAAAAGTCTCGAACTGGAAAACGCAGTGATGCTCTTAGTTATTCTCAGTTTGTTCAAGAAGCAAGATTACAAGATTATGAACCAAAGCCTCCAACTCCAGAATATGTATGCGAACCCCAGCCTTCAACGCCACCATATGAAGAACTACAGCAAACCAGTTCATTTTTCTCAAAATAAGAGAGTATTCGTTGTTCTTATGTTTCAGATATTACATTGTAATATTTTTCTGTATTTCTATTTCAGTTTTCACAGGGAACAAAATTGTATATGGATGCAGTTTAACCAGTATCCTAATCCTAAACTTGATAAATAGGATATCATGGAGGAAGTGCTTCCTGATGCAAAACAGAACTTTTTCCACATCACTAATGCAAAATAAAGCCATATATGAACACAGAGGATTGTTCTTACTGGTATTTATGATGAAGTCTTATCATTCATTCTGTGAGGACTCTTGTAAGGGGCTTGAAGTCAGCTTCCATATATTAATGAATTGCTCTAAATACTTAGGATCATGTGACAGCATCCCTTACAAAAACACTAAAGTCATGCAGTGCTGCTTAAAATATTCTAGTGCCATATAAAATTAAGAAATTTTACCATTGGAATTTTCTAATTTATCAGCAATGTGATTTAGAACAATCATTTCTTTAGAAGTACATGTGTCAATTTCACTGCAGGTCCAATCTTATTCTAAACTGGGACAAATGATCATTATCATAATGATAAAAAATGCAACAATATTTAGCTAAACCAATTTATATTTTGTTAATATTCTTAAGTTTTAGATAAATGCAAAGGTGGAGCAACATGAAAAATCAAACAACCAAACTTATAAATACAGTATTTAGAATATAATTTATGTCTGAAAAGTAGACTTATGAATGCCAAGGGAGTAACCATTTCAGATTTAAAAGATGCAATAAAACACAAACTTCAATTAAAAAGCCATAAATGACAGACTATAATTCATGGTGGAATTTGTGCATAAAATTACAGTGAAACACAGTAGTGTATTCATGTGAATGCTGCATTGATGACAAATGTCATAGAAAGGGGGACATACAGTATAAATCATGTGAATTGTTTTTTTAGAATTTTCCTTGTATTTTGCATTTATGCCTAATTTTTCATTGCAAAATTTAATTTTCCATTGGCTTTCATTAATATTTACCATTTAAATTCCTATAAAAACCATTGTAGACGTTGCTTCCAAAGTTTTTTTAATATTAAAAATGAGAGCAATTTTTTTTCCCACTTCTAACAGCTTGGATACTTTATGAGTCTTCAGAATCAATACTAGATGTCTCTTCTATTTTTTTTGCAGGAATTTTATCAATTTGAAAAATCAGTGATTTAGTGGGTTTTAGCAGCACTGCTGAGAGTGGTATCTTTTTAGTCATAGATGTCGTCAAATCTTCACTTTTCATGGCCAATGCTGTTATCATGTTAAAATAAGATGAAGCAATGATTTCCTGAAGAGATGAATTTGTTTCAAGAAGCTGGCTAAGAGGTGAGTCTTTTAGCTGTACAGTTGTTATATCAAACCAGGGGAAGGAACTAGAAGAGAAAAGTCTGTTATCTATAGATCCTGAAGTTATACAATAAATCAGTATTGTTTTGTCATTACAGAGGTAAAGGAATGGAAATGGGACTCCTATATATTTAATTATTAAGCTCCAAAGATTCTTCAGACATCTGTCATAGTTTCTGTCTGCATGTATGCAATTTACCACTGACTCCAAGCAGATCATCTAGACAGAACCTGCTCCTAATACCCTACTTTGGGAAAGAAAGGGAACTGAAGCCAATAGGTACTTAGTTTTCTGAGAAACCTTCCTGTGGAAATAACACCAGCCCTGCAGATTCCAAAATATGCATGTGCTGCCTTGGGATTTTAAAAAAAATTTCAAGGAATGCACAACAGTTCTTCATATCTGTCACTATGTAAAATATTAGCTATTAGTTCACAGTTCTGGCCTCGGGTCAGAAAAAATCAGTAAAGGCAACAGGAACTAAAAAAGTTTGGGAACTCTGAATTGGTCCCTTTCCTGATTGCATTCAGAAAAATGCTGAAGACAGAACTTTGCTTGAAGATATTGTAATTAGATTGTGCCATCATTTTTTTTTATTTTTAAGGTATTTCATCCAAGAGTTATTTTGTTATATTTTTAGTTGCTATTTGTTGTTATTCAGGGGACAATCTTGTCGTGGTTGCCTCTGTATTCCAGAGATTAACAAAGCACTCTACAGAATGGCTGTCCAAATTGATGGGAAAATCCCCAATCACTATTTAAAAACCCTGAGTTCCATCAGGTACTTGGGGGTAGAGCATCTTAACTGACCTTTCTTTTCTGCAGATGCAGGTAGCTTCAGTTAATCCCATTGTCACAAGAAACTGAGCTGTCCATGACAAAGAGGCTGCAGGAAATATTCCCCAGAACTAGATCACATACCATCTTATCCAAGATAAAGGCCAAATGTAATGGATGGCCAGCCATGTAGGTAGGGCCAGTGAAGACCTGGTATAAGCCCAAGATTGTCATAATGGCTATCCAAACACCCAAAGTGCAATTATGTGGCCATAGGTAGGGGAGTAACCATTGCAACTTTGAAACAGTTTGTAACTCCCTTTTACGGGGTAGGTCCTAACTTCAAACAATTGCTAAGTAACCAGTCAGAAGTCTAGGACTACCTGTATACAGAGCCTCTGCGCTAGCCTGAACATATTTACAGCACATAATGTTGTTGTACATAAAATCAGCTTTACATTCAGGATTACTCATAAGAGAAATGCCTTCAATTTACTATAAATGCAAATTGTGCTTTCAGTAGCCTCCATAGGATGGCTTAACTTTAAGAAGCAGCCCAGTCTGAAACAAGACATGGGTCAAATTACGAAAAATGAAGGTGGATTTGTACAAGGACTCAAAACTGTATATACCCAAGAGATTGGGTATCATGCACCAAGATAGGTCTCAAGCTGAGGTACAGGGAGGAAGAGAGCCTGCATGTATAGCACCATTCTCTTATATTATTGGAATCCTGATGCGTTACTGGGGATTTGATTGGGGCAGGGGAGACTTTGGATGAGCTTGTGAGGACAGAAATTCCTGCAGTTTGTGACTCATATTATTTCTCTTAAAAAACTAAGCCACTAAATCTTACTCGTAAATTCCATAAATGATGCATTATCAGTGTTAAAAATGTTGGATAAGACAAGATTAAACACAAAACAATTTTCTACTGGATTTTACTTACTCATCAGCAGCCAATGAGGAAGCAAAGGCTTGGTTGATAAAATGTTCACAAACTAGAAATGGTGATGAGGTGGTGGCATTGCCTTCACAAAAACATACTTGATTGAGCAATCCCAGAGCCTTTGTGTAGGAGAAATGCTGTTGTGTATAGCTATTTAAAGCTGCATAAAATACAGCTGCCAGCCACTTCACGTTGACAGTTATTTCACCTGGAAAAAAAAGGAAATATTTTCTTTCATGTTTAGTTCACCATGCCTCTTTAATAGCCTTCTTCAACCTGTTGCCATCCCATCACTCTGAGTCATAATGGCCAATGGAAAACACCAAGTTGGGAAAAAAGTTGTTTAAAGCTTAAACTGTAAAATGCAAGCTAATAAAGGAAAAATATTTGTGCTGCTTCTGCTTTGAACATTCCTCAATTGGCCTTTCTTTCTATAGCCATCTTTACCATCTCATTCTGCTGTATGGATAGATCAGGCATTACAGGGGCTGGTAGTGCCCATAGCATATTGCATAGTTGTCACTGAGACTAATTTTCTGGACAGGACATAGATAATTCTATAAGCCGAAAAAGAACAAGGGAAAAAGTTCCATTTTTCACAAGGCTTTCAAAAATCCACCTACTCTTGGAGTTGCAAGGACATGTCGCCTGGATAATTGTTGTATTTTTGAGGGCTTCCAAAACTGTTCTGTTAGCCTCCCACATGTGAAAAGAGCTGTTCTCAGAGCACTTGTACTGGGGCCTCAAGATGGAACAGGAGGAAATAAGTTGCTTCAGTCTGAAAGTAAATAAGATCTTAAATTATGCAGTTGGGTTAAGTATCAAAAAGCAAGTGTGCAAAAAGTATGGATCTATGGATCTTGCCTATTCTCAGCTACTTCCTTCAGCCAATTATTGCTTACACACTGTACATACACAGAATGAGCATGTTATGTATATACTGATTTCTTGTTCTACTGTACATGAACACAATAAAAAAGATATAAGCTCAGTTTCAACAACAGCCCTATTTATACCATTGAAATGTAATCACAAAATATTTATTAATTTATTTATTAATTAAATTTATATACCGCCCTATCTCCCTTGCGGGACTCAGGGCGGTAATATATGGATATTAGCTAGAAATGGGAGTACCCTTAATACTCAAGCCTGACTTTCACTATTTCAGAAAAGAGTTTGCTACAATGCCATTCTTATTCTTTATATACACATGACCTAAGATGTGCACAGCCAAATTCCATTTCTGGTGATTATGCTCATGTAACGTTCATATACATAGGCTCATATATTGGGCCCTTTTAGCAACAAACGTGGGAGGGAGCATGATTTTTTCCCCCAGTTCATATTAGCATTAATATCATAATGCGCTATACCTGCTCAAAGGGATTGCTGTGACCAGGCTGTATATAATACATGAGTTTTTGAGAGAATCCTGAACTTCTGAACATATTTGTGGAAGATGACATGGAAGACAGCAGAGAAAAGCAACATCTGCCCAGCCTACCAGCTGCTTGTTGTTATAGATACACTCAACTCCCAGCTTGTGGAATTCTACTAAAAAAAAAAAAAAGACAAAAGGGAATATTTAATTTCTGCTCCCATAGAACAAAACTTTAATTGAAGAGGCTGCAGTCTTTAATTTCCTTCTAAATCTCCAAAGATAAGCATGTTAATTTGTTACAATACTGAACTTGATAGACAACTTAACATCTCCGGTTGTTTGACTTCCAGCTCATACCTAACAATCACACTACGGCTGTCCATTTCCACTTTGGTCTTCCAGAGACTATTGCTGTTGCAGTTTCTTCTTTTAGCTTTTTTTTAGACAGCACAGATTTGATCTTATAGCAGAGCTATAGTTTCTGTCGTTCACTCTTTTTAGTCTATATAGTTATTATCCTTAACAATTGGTTTTATGTTATAATTATTGATTTTATACTTTTTATATTTTTACTTTATGCTGATCAAGGATCCCAATAAAGATACATATAGTATCTTCTTTGTGCCATGCTATCAGTCTTGGTTTGGATGACTAGTGGTCAGGGATTATGGGAACTGAAATAAAAAAAAACCACAGAGATAACAGTCTTCCTATCACTGGTGGAATGTATGTGCTCCATATCTCTATAAAGACAGCATTTATTTGTTGTATACAGATGTGCATAAACATAATAAAGATCATATTTCTTGGACTACTACACTATAAAATAAAACTACTCCAGATGAAATTAATAGAGAATTATAAATTACTTCTAAAAATATGAAAACAAATAGAAGCCAGAATATGTGATTTGGAGGGAGGGACGGCATGCAGTTTCTTCTACAGATAGTCCTTTGACTTATGATCACAACTGGGACCTGAGCTTGCATTGTTAAACAAGATGGTTGTTAAATCTTATCTCTTTTTTGCCACTGTTGTTAGTGAATCACTTAATTCAGTGAATCATGTGGTTGTTAAGCACATCTGGCTTCCCTCTTTGACTTTACTTGTTGGAAGATGCCTGAGAAGGTCGTGAATGGTGATCATGTGACCCTGGGATGCTGCAACCATCATAAATAAATGCCAGTTGACCATGGGGATGCTGTAACCCTGGTGATCATGTGACCCTGGGATGCTGCAACCATCATAAATAAATGCCAGTTGACCATGGGGATGCTGTAATGGCTGTGAGTACTGGTTGTAAGTCATTTTTTTCAGCGCTACTGTAACTTAAAATGGTCGCTAAACAAAAGATTATAAGTCGAGGACTTATAATCTAAAGCAGCGGTTCTCAACCTATGGGTTGCGACCCCATTTGGGGTCGATCGACCATTTCACGGGGGTCGCCAAGCAAGGCTGTCCGCCATTTTTTCCCCCTTTTCTGGCGGGTGCCTTACCTCCCTTGGGCTGGGCCAGCTGGTGGTCGGCCTGCTCCGTCTCTGCCGCTTGCCAGCTACGCCTCGGCCGGCGCAAGGGGAGGAACCACGCATGCGCGGCGCTCCCGGGCAGGGAAAGTCCTCGACTTACGACCGGTTGGGTAGTCCTCGACTTACGACCGGTTTAGTCCTCGACGTACGACCGGTTTAGTCCTCAACTTATGACCAGTTGGGGGTCGCGGCATTAAAAAGGTTGAGAACCACTGATCTAAAGGTTATTATTAAATTATATTTTACTTTGATTTTATAGAGTTCATTTTCCTTTTGAGTTCCAAGAATTCCTATGGTAATGTTGATGAAAGAAAGCACCTCTGTTTTTACAAATTGGATTTTTCAATGGGAAAGTGGCAGCTAACTGAGCCAGTCTTTAGCAAACACTCGTTTCCCTGCTTAGCATAAACTGGAGCACTTTTCTGCAAGGCAAAGGTGCCATTGGATGCAACCAAAGATTAACCCTTTTAAATGAACTCTGAGACTTTTTGTATTTGTTTCCTATGATTTGGCAGCAAGAAATCTTACTGTAACTAAAATATTTAATTTTAACGAGCACATCAGCTCTTATTTTTAACTGTTATGGTAACTTTTTGTGAACCCTTTTCATAATTATGCTTGATAATTGTTTAAAGGCAACAGTTGAAAGTAAGAAAAGGAATCAATAAGTTGCTATAATGAAATATAAACTGAGACTAAGGATGAGTAGTTGTGGAAGAAGATATACAAAGGATATGCAATATATGATTAGAACATGAATTCTACTACTATATAGAAAGAACTTTTGAGTTTTGTGTATGAGTAAGCTTCTTGTCTGTCTTTCAAGCACCTGATTCTTACATAGAGTTTCTGGCTGTCTTGTGGAGATCTGGATGTTCTTTCCTGAAATGGCACCCAAATGTAACAATGTTCTGGCCAGTTGTTTCCCAAGATGGCCTCCACCAATAATCCCAATCTTCAGTCTTTGATTATCCTTAGAAGGTTGGGAACCAGCGGGTGCATCCTTACAATTCTCTTCTTTCTGTCTGAGGGAAATCCCAAAACAGCAGTTATTATATATACATACATAAAATTCAAAGTGTAAAATAAATGCTACCTATTTCTTAGAGTGTGAATAGGCAGCTGTGTAAAAAATATCCTGGAATGATATGCTGAATTTGAGTGAGAAGTCTGATATGTCCATAAAAAGAAAAAATTGTCACTTTACATCATTAGAAGTGCATTTGCCAAAATACAGCAGTTTCATTCTACTCTGCTTTGACTAAGGTCACCCTGACCACTAGAATCCAATTCAGTAAGAGCTATTAGAGAATGGGAAATCATATAAGGACAGATGGATGGAACTTTTAAATTTTAGCCTTGAAAAGATAAGATTGAATTTTTTTCATATAATATAGTCTTGCTTGTCTCTCTGATATTCTATCATGTATAAGCGTAGATAGACAGTTCTTTTCAGCAAACAGCAGTCCCCGTTTAGAACAGAAGAACTATCCAATTTAATAATAGGAGAGGGAACACTGCTGCTGTTAGTGACTTGGGATCTTCCTGGACCCATGGCTCCTTCACATAGATGATGCCAGCCACAGGGATCATAGAATCAAATCTTCACAGTGCCTACACTCTCTTTGGCAGTCTTTCTCAACCTTGACAGCTTTAAGATCAGGTGTCTTCCAGGTGCTACTGCCAGTAGGGACAAGAAGCGTATTTGTAAAATAATCAGGAATGCCAGCAAGGACTGTGATGTGGAGGCTATTGTATATCTTGGCACTAACGATCTGTCTCAAAAAGATGTACTCTCTGTGCAGAATGATTTCCAGAGCCTAGGGCAGGAACTTAGCAGAATAGGCTTAGGCTTATTTTTTCAGAGGTTCTACCAGTGCATAAGGAGCAAAATGGAAAAGGCCAGCGTATAGCACAATTCAATATGTGGCTAAAGGAGTGGAGTAAAGGGGAAGGCTTCGGATATATTAGTCACGATGTCAGCAGCTGGTCCAATAAAAAAATGTACAAAAGAGATGGTTTGCATCCATCAAAGAAAGGGACTGAGTTACTCGGCTATAAATTCACAGATTTTCTGGAGGAATATTTAAACTAAACAGCGGGAACAGTGAGCTAATTGATACAGAACATCCCTGTCCCCGGAAATCCAGACAACTTTGTCTCCCAAAAAGTAGAGAAGGGAACTAGGGGATTAGCCATTTTGGATCTAATTCTCACTAACAGAGATGAAATGATAGAAGGTGTTGAAGCCATAGGAACCTTGGGAGGAAGTGATCATGCAATATTGGAATTCAACATTATGGAAGCACAAGCACTAGAACACAGTCAAACTAGAGTCTTGGACTTNCTCAAGATGCTTGGGAAATTTTGAAAAGTGAGATAATAAAAGCCCAGTCTAGCACAATACCAACAAAGAGGAAAAATAACAGCTCTCAAAAGAAACCAGCATGGCTGCACAAAGAACTCTCTGATAAATTGAAAGATAAAAAGGACAAGTATAGAAAGTGGAAAGAGGGACACATAACTAAGTCAGAATATCAGCAAATTGCCTGAGCCTGCAAAGATGAAGTGAGGAAAGCTAAGGCTCAAAATGAACTAAAGCTTGCGACCAAAGTCAAAAATAACAAAAAAAAGCTTCTTTCAACATGTAAAAAACAAGAAAAAAAGTGAAGGAAGCGATTGGTCCATTAGTGGGTGAATGTGGCAAGAAGGTGACAAGCAACAGGGAAAAAGCAGAACTATTTAACTCGTTTTTCGCATCTGTCTTTACACAAAGGGAAAAAGCAGACCAACCTATCAAAAATAGTGCCATAAAAAACAGAATAGAAACACAAGTTAAGATAGGCAAGAAAATGATAAGTGAGCACCTGTCCAGCCTAGACGAGTTCAAATCACCAGGACCAGATGGATTACATCCCAAGGTTTATAGGGATTTTAAAGGGATTTTATAATATTAAACTTAATACAGGTTATTTAATATATATTTTAATTTGGCTTTTAGAGATATCTATTGTATTGTACTGTTTTTATTTACCTGTAAGCCGCCCTGAGTCCCTCGGGAGAAGGGCGGGGTATAAATGGGATTAAATAAATAAAATAAATAAATAAATAAAGGTTCTCAAGGAACTGGCAGATGTGATCTCAGAACCACTGAACTATATTTTTCAAAGATCCTGGAGCACTGGGAAACTACCAGAGGACTGGAAAAGAACTGATATAGTTCCCATCTTCAAAAAAGAGGAAAAAATGGATCCAGGAAATTACAGACCTATTAGCCTGACCTCAATACCTGGGAAGATTCTGGAAAAGATAACCAAACAATGAATCAGCGAACACCTACAGGCAAACCAAGTCATTACTAAAAGCCAACACGGGTTTGTCAAAAACAGATCATGCCAGACAAATCTTATTGCATTCTTTGACCAAGTGACAAAATTAGTGGACCAGAGGAATGCTGTGGATATAATATACTTGGACTTCAGTAAGGCATTTGACAAAGTAGATCACAACCTACTACTTGATAAGATAGAAAAATGCGGGTTAGACAGCATCACCACCAGATGGATCCGTAGCTGGCTGACCGGCTGTACTCAGTGTGTGGTCCTCAATGGAACCACATCTACATGGAGGGAAGTGTGTAGTAGGGTGCCCCAGGGCTCTGTTCTGGGCCCAGTGCTCTTCAACATTTTCATCAATGATTTGGACGAGGGGATAGATGGGGAACTCATCAAATTTGCAGACGACACCAAGCTGGCAGGAATAGCCAACACTCCAGAAGACAGGCTTAGGTTACAGGAGGATCTGGACAGACTTGAACACTGGGCGCTATCTAACAAAATGAAATTCAATGGTGATAAAAGTAAGGTTCTACATTTAGGCAAGAAAAACCAAATGTATAGGTATAGTATAGGGGGTACCTTGCTCAATAGTAGTAACTGTGAAGGGATCTCGGAGTCCTAGTGGACAATCATTTAAATATGAGCCAGCAGTGTGCTGCAGCTGCCAAAAAAGCCAACACAGTGCTAGGCTGCATTAACAGAGGGATAGAATCAAGATCACGTGAAGTATTAATACCACTCTACAATGCCTTGGTAAGGCCACACTTGGAATACTGCATCCAGTTTTGGTCACCACGATGTAAAAAAGATGTTGAGACTCTAGAAAGAGTACAGAGAAGAGCAACAAAGATGATTAGGGGACTGGAGGTTAAAACATATAAGGAAAGGTTGATGGAATTGGGTATGTCTAGTTTAATGAAGAGAAGGACGAGGGGGGACATGATAGCAGTGTTCCAATATCTAAGGGGCTGCCACAGAGAAGAGGGAGTCAAGCTATTTTCCAAAGCACCTGAAGGCAGGACAAGAAGCAACGGATGGAAACTAATCAAGGAGAGAAGCAACCTAGAACTAAGAAGAAACTTCCTGACAGTTAGAACAATTAACCAGTGGAACAACCTGCCTCCAGAAGCAGTGAATGCTCCAACACTGGATGTTTTTAAAAAGAAACTGGACAGCCATTTGTCCGAAATGGTATAGGGTTACCTGCCTGAGCAGGGGGTTGGACTTGATGACCTCCAAGGTCCCTTCCAACTTGATGATGATGATGATGATGATGATGATGATGGGTGGACTTCAACTCCCAGAATTCTCTTGTCAGCAAATTGGCTGGAGAATTCTGGGAGTTGAAGTCCACCCATCTTAAAGTTGCCAAGGTTGAGAAACATTGCTCTGGAGTAGCATCCTCTGGATACCTTCCTTCATGGTTTTTTAGAAATTTTATTAAAACATGATTATTTCATCAGTAGCTGGAATGCTTTGAATTTGTTTCTTCTGACAGAGGAAAGGCATTTGACTTCGAGTTATTGTTCCCAATACTATATGCATGGGTTAAATAATATTGTTTTATTTTCACTTTTGTTTTTAATCCAATTTATGGAAGTTAGGGAATATGCCTCTTGAGAGTTTTTCACAACTGGAACATCCTATTAAACCCCCCAAAATAACATTTTAGAATTCCTAAATATTGCAATTATTCACAGTTGAAAGTTCAAGATCTTTGTTAATATTGCTATAAATTCTTCAAATGTCTAATAGTAATTCCTAGTGTATTTGACATTGCCCAATCATGTTATTTTACGCTAAAAATATAATTTATATTTATTTATAATTTAATTTTTTTTGACCATTCATTTGCCTGAGACAAATAAAAGATTAAAAGCAAACAATACAAACAAAACAATTGCAGGGGAGAGGCTTCCACAGATTTGCCTGAAGAAAACATTCATAACAATCTCCATGATTCATGGAATGTCCTGAAGCAGTGTCAATGAAAAAAGGCAGGTCTATAAAGTTCCCTTGAAGGATATTAAGATGGGGCTGAAGGGACATTAGGGGGAATAGTGTTCCAGAGGGCAGTGACAAAGAATGCTTGCCTCCTGGATCCTCTAAGACAGGGGTGTCAAACTCGCAATGTCACATGACGTGTCGCGATGTATCACGACTTTTTTTCCATTGCTGGCAATGGGGTAGGTGCGGTTTCGGCATGACACATCTGGCCCGTGGGCCGGCAGTTTGACACCCCTGCTCTAAGATGATATGTTAGACATGTTTCTTAAAGTGTGATCTTGGGGTAGGGAAGTCGCCCAAGACCCCCTTAGGGGTCTGCAAAATCAAAATTATTTCCAGCCTGTTGATTTTTAATTTTAATTTTTAATATGGCAAATATGAATAGGTATAACCCATAAAAACAAAAATCCTTTTGCGTTCCTCCACATTTTTTAAAACTGGGAAGAAGTACTAAAGGGAAAAAAAGTTTTTTAAAAAAGTTTACAAAACATTGATTTAATAGATGGGACCAGAAGGGGGTGCCCATTCTGTCAGATCTTATTGACAATGGGTTGCAGGGGAGGGAAGAGAGAGAGAGAGAGAGAGAGAGAGAGAGAGAGAGAGAGGGAGGGAGGGAGGGAGGGAGGGAGGGAGGGAGGGAGAGGGAGAGAGAGAGAGGGGGAGAGATCTTTTGCCTTACTTGGTGGCATTGAGCAGTTTGCAGAAAAAAAGTGCATGGGCGCAAGCATTCACCATCAATCCTTTGGCATAAGACCTCAGATGAAACAGTGGCTCATTCGTCCCAATCCCATATTCTGGCTGGAAAGTCTTTAGGTTTGCCATAATATTGGCCATTTCAACTGTATGCTGAGAGCAACTGAAATTATAATAGAAATTACTCCTGTTGACCACCTGATAGTGGCCATCCATTGCATTAGTGTATTATTAAAGCAAGAGACAGTTCAGTTGTGGCACATGCTATAAAACATGTATTCAGCACCTAAAAATTGGGAAGGGTAATGGCAGTTTTTATTTTTAATCTATTTTATAATGATCATTTATTAATAAACAATTCTTTAGGAAAGTCAGGGGTCTCCAAACTCTTGAGCCTTGCATGAAGTTTTCAGATTATCTGTCGACCCCTAAACATTTGTTACATGAAAATATTTTTATACATATTACTTTAATAGTACTACAACAATAGAGTATGTTGGGCAACCATATAAATCTCTTTAAATAAATACAATTTTCATAAAATAGATATTATTTAAAATATTAAAAGTATAAGATTTAACATACCTTTTTATTGAAACTATTGATATTACTAATGAGAAGGGTGTATTTAATAAGCATCAACAAGGGCACTGGTATTTGGTTGGAATTTGGTGAGATAGTCTTGCCCACTATGGAAGGTGAACAGGAATACTATACATACACATATCCTTTCTAGAACAGAGGAGAGAGACAAGGGAAAGAGTGGAAGGACACACAACATAAAGCATGCTAGTAAATGAGACCACCCAACCCTGGGTAACACTGTCTCACCACTAGCCACCTCATCTTCAGAACCAGGGGTTGCCATAGAGTTCTACAGAGACCTCAAAAGATAACTGACTTGATCTTCCATTATTTATCATTATTTATGTTGGGAGGGGGAGAGAGAAGCTAAACCCTAGGCCCCTATAACATGGGGTGCTTCAGGGCTCAAACCTTTCATCCCTCCTCTAACATCTGCATGAGATTGCTGGGAGAAGTCATCTGATGGCACTGTTTTAATGATAGCTCACTACCTGGAAGCTATAAATGTTTGGATGGTGAGAAACTGACTCCAGCTCAACTCTACCGAGATAGAGTGACTCTGGGTCTTTTGATCTGATGAGACATCCTCTCTGGCTCTTGCTGGGGTTGCACTCCCCTGGACAGACCTGGTGTACATTTGGGGGATTCTCTTGGATTGTGGCTCCTGTTCAAGGTATTGGCCATGGCTGGGAGACCCTTGCACAAATTCACCCTCTGTGCCACCTGCACCCATTACTGGACTGGGAGGTCTTGCTGATCACTTCTTGGTTGGATAACTGCAATATAGTCTACATAGAGCTGCCCTTGAAGACCATCAGGACCCTACCCTCTTGGCCTTTGAAAACCTTGAAGAGTTGGCTCTTCCTGGAAGGGCTGGGGTACAGTGAGGTTGGAACCCAGTAAAGTTGACTATTGATGTGTGGAGAATATTGTTTCTGGGAATGAAAGAATGAATGACAGTGAGCAGACTGGCTTATTCTTTGTAAGCCACCCAGAGACATGGTGCATACGATGGGTGGCTGAATAAGTCTTAAATAAATACATGAATAAATATGTTTAAAATTAAACTAGTGTGTAAAAATACAAGCCAACATATAACATATAAATATATTTTAGAACCAGGAAGATACAAACAAGGTAACAAAAGGTTGTTGCCAAATTAAGCCATTTGGCCTATTGTACGCATGTCATATGCAACTATGTAAACAACAGAGTATATGATGTGACATAGTTCATCACTTGTATTGCCCTTTCCATCCCATGCCCCCACAAATGAAAACCTGAAATGGAGCAAGGCCACAATAAAGATAGTCCTTGGTTAACAAAGGCAATTGGGATCAGACTTTTAACCTTAGCTACCGCAGTTCTGGCAGTCCCTGTTGCTGTCATGAAGAGAAGACTGTGTGGGTTGTTAAGCGAGGATCTTCACATGACTGCAACATCCTGCCAGTTCTCCCACTGACTTTGCTTTTAAACTGCAATCACATGACTGTGAGGCTGCTACAATGACTGGAAATCTAAGGATCAGTTGTAAATACCACACATTCAGCACCATCACAAGTTCATTTTAGAGAAGCTCATACTCTTATGCAAGCCGGTCAGCACAGGAGCATTTCCTAATCCAGGAAAGCACAATCTAGGTGCCCTCCAGATATAAAACTAGAAACACAAATCATCTATGCAGCAGGATACACAGCTGGGAATCTGAGTTACATCTCAAGGACAACTTATTTAAGCTGTAGAACAGTGGTTCTCAACCTTTTTAATGCCGCGACCCCCAACCAGTCGTAAGTCGAGGACTAAACCGGTCGTAAGTCGAGAACTAAACCAGTCGTAAGTCGAGGACTACCCAACCGGTCGTAAGTCGAGGACTTTCCCTGCCCGGGAGCGCCGCACATGCGTGGTTCCGCCCCCTGCGCCGGCCGAGGCGTAGCTGGCAAGCGGCAGACACGGAGCAGGCTGACCACCAGCTGGCCCAGCCCAAGGGAGGTAAGGCACCCGCCGGAAAAGGGGAAAAAATGGCAGACAAAAAAAATGGCGGACAGCCTTGCTTGGCGACCCCCGCAAAATGGTCGATCGACCCCAAATGGGGTCGCGACCCATAGGTTGAGAACCGCTGCTGTAGAAAAATCTCCAGCCTGTTCAATATTATATAAACCAACCATATCTTTCCGCCTATTTTGTCTTACATCAGCAAATATACAAGATATTCCAATCCTCTCATCCTAAGAAGAAACTACATTATAATGAAGTGCAGACTACAAAGAGAATAATTCTGATAATCTTTGTTTTCTACTTACAATATATAGCTTCTGAGAGTGAATCACTAAATGGAACTAATGTTCTGGCTGACAGTTTGTGATTGGTTCAAAATCAAAACTGTTAAAACGGATAACCTCCAGTTCCTACCGAGAGGACAGGTTTGAGTGTCAGGATCAAACTTTCTCAACAAAACACCATTTTTGTTAGCATGTAAACGAATGGAAAAGAAAATCTCACATCATTACCAGGTATGGAAGCCACCAATTGCATTGCACTAAATTTGTTTAAGCTTCTGGCTCCTTCTAAGCAATTTATCCTTCTGGTCTGGCAGCTAAGGTCATTCTACAAACAGAAGGCTGTCGTCATGACAAATGCTTGGTTACCAAACCTGTTTTTAGATTTTTTTTTTAAATTTACTGATTTCGTAGTTGCAGCCTTTAAAGGAGGCAGCAAATAATTTTCAGCTTCCCAACAGGATCAAAGCAACAAAGTTTTCTCCTCTTTTGAGATTACTCTGCAGGTGCAGTCCTTCCCCATGTGCACTGAGATTTGCTTTCAAATACATTATGTATTATTACACTGCACTGTAAATTGTTTAAAAAATCAGTCACAAATATTGGTTTGATTCAACTCATTGTTTTCCCATCTGTTACTATTTCAATATGTTGGTTATATTAGCTGAGAACCAGAGGTCCATTACTACCATAAACCTACCCTAAAATATTTTCAGAACATTCCTTACCTATAAACAGTTTATAGCTTAATGTGTTGTGTGGATCCAGCCAATTATAACTGAATTCACTTTTAATGGTGAGATTGTCAGAGGTATTTAAATGTCAGAGTGTTCAATCCTTGGTCGAGACAATATATGAATGGTCTCAGTTTCTAAATATTGTATCTTTGGAAAACACTAGTTACTTTACTCATACTCATCTTTACAGCCAAACAGCCAGAGAAAACAAATATAAGGGAGGTAAAGCTTTATTTACAACATGGAAAGTGAAAGATAACATGAAGCCTAGAAAGAGGAAGTAGATTTGCTAACAAACCTTGAAGCATAATTAGCAAGGGCCAACTGTTTTCATTAGACCTTGAGAGAAAATATAATTTGATTAGTTCAGTACACCCTACAACAAAATTGGTAGATTCCATGTAGAACTGAACTCACATTCTCATTGACTGAAAGGCCATGCAGTTAAACACGCCAACATTTGATGAGGGGAATGTATGTAGGTTTACTGTTAAGAATCTTATGCAGCACTTTCCAAATAATTATCCTAGTTAATTGGTAATGGATGCTAGAATAATGTGCAGGACAGAGGTTTCATATCACTAAGAACAACAGTCTCACCCCTTAGAATCAAATGAGGGAAAAGCATATTTATTATACAGATTTTTTTTCCTATGGAAAGCTGTCCTGATCATTTCAGATGACTAGACAGTAAACAGGAAGTGGAAGCATTAAGTTCTTGACTCAAATATGCTTCTCTTGTCTATATAATATTATATTCCTCTTATGTTTACATTGTGGAGTTCAACTCATCAGATTTGTGCTTCATCGGCTAAATGTCTCTTTTGGCCAACTCTGTGCCTAAGAGGTTCCTTTCAGTGAAGGCTTCACAGAGGCAGCATCTTGAAGCAACAGGCAAACTGACAAAGTGGATTGAAATCAGTGCAGAACTGGCTTGGCAATCTTTCTCTTTGACCTCATCGAGTCAACATGAAGTGCTTCCAAAAGAATGGAGTGTCTCTCAGTTCTTCCACCGGATCTGCTGAAAGAAAAGCAGAATTGGATGTGGTTGATATAAAATATAATCACATCTCCAGGCTGAGAAAATAATTAGTAAATCTCTAGTCACTGAAACCAATAGAAGCAGAGGCATTTATAAACAACGTGAGAAAATAGATAAAATAAGGTGTTATTTATCGTTGAAACAAGAACAGTGTTACTGAAACTAAATGATCCACTGACATGGCCTAAACCAACACAGCAATATTGATTTAAAGCCCAAAACATATTTAAAAAGGAGAAAAGCTACCAGCTTTGTTTCACTCTCACAAGCTGGATAAAGTAAAGTGGAATGAACAATCATTTCCATAAAACATGGTTCAAAAATTGTTTAATTAGATCCATTTCCTGAACATAAGCATTTAAGCTGCTGATAGATCTTTGGAAGTTATTTTTTCTACATACTAAAATCCAAAAGCAGGTGGATGACGCTTCCGACTTGTGGTAAAATGAATAGGAGAAAAAAAAATAAGACAAAAGATAATAGGTAAGATTTCTGAAAAGGCTAGAAATTGATGTTCCCAATCACTTTTGATAATCTATAAGGCTTCAAAATTATCTGTGATCTCAACTGGCACCAATAATAAGAAAGAGTAGATATCAAGATATGGATATAAAATTGTAGTAGTTAATCTTGATCATCACACCTAATGATACTAACAGTGGCAAATTAAATATGTAATAAAACAAAGGGGTCCAAAGATAGAGTAACAAGATGTTCTCATTTCCTAGTATTTATCAACTGGAGGAACAGTGGCTGAGCAAGATACAAAATTTACATTATATTGCCAATTGAGGTATGTGTGGCACTATTCAGTAATGGATTTTTGTATAAATTGACTGAAATTACTTAATTTTGTACTTAGAACAAATTCTGTGATCAAAAGTGTTTAATCTTGCTGCATGTCTTTTGTGCCAGATTGGTGGAGTCTAGTAAAATGCAAAATAAATCTTTCAAATCGAAAGCATGTTTAGCATTGCATTACAGAGTGCCACTCAGTATCTGGATCACACACAACTGATAGCAGATAGTGTGTTTTCTGTGCTTTCAGCTTAGCATGTTAGGTAAACTTAATTGATTATGGTTTAGTGAGATACATAAATCAGATCATAGGGCCCATTTGGCAAGCAATCATTCTTCTAAAAAATGACAGCCAGTCAGAAATCTTGCACATTTTTTTTAAGAACTATGTAAAAAGACAGTACGATTGCAACTTTATCTAATTATACCTACAAAATCATAAATCACTATTAATTTATTCATTTCAATGTTTTAGCTACCCAACTCTAATAGACTTTTATTTTTATGTTTAAACAGAATAGATAAGTACTGTAATGCTTTATACATTAGTTTCAAGTACAACTAGATATAGTTTTATTTGTAAAGAAAAGTTACCTGAACCACTTTAATAGTACCATAACAGTTGAAAGATTAAAAGGAGATCCTTTAACTCAGCATGAATGGACGTAAAGCTAAAGCCCTAAGCATATTAATTTGGAATTAGAAAAGCTTTCTTCTACATTAATAGCTAAATTCAAGAACTTATTGTCAAGGCCAAGGTTTTTCAAAATGTATCATATGGCTGCAAAAGGTAGACAGGCAAAGGCTGAGTGAAGTAAACTGTGATGCTGTAGAATATATTTGAAAATTTGGACTTGGAGAAAAAATATTTTTGTTTTTTACTGGTTTTACTGTTTTTATTGTTTTAGAATGTTGTTTAAATTTTTAATTATAAAATATGTTCTGAATTGTATATTGGCTAAGGGCCATTCACTGAGTTGGGCAGCTATAGAAATTGAATAAACAAATAAATCATTCAACATGATATCCCAAGAAGCATAAAGAAACTTACACATTTTGGACATATAATGCAAGAACAAACCCTCAATGCCTTTGAAGGCAGGAGAAAAAGAGGCTGGCAGAAGACATGACATTACAAGTAGGAGCAATTACTGACTGACAGTTATATACTGGGTCATGAAGAGTCAGAAGCTACTCAGCATATGAACAACAAAAGTTCAATTGCAAGAATTTTGGGATGATCCTTGTTTTGCCACTGGTCTACCCATGTAAACTATCATGAGAAATATGAAATTCTCACATGGTTCCAACAGGCCAATCCATCTGAACTTGAACAAGTCCTTCCCACTCCCCTCCATGTTTGCAGGCACTTCAGCTTGATTGGCTGAAAGCAGAGCTGTTTGGGTTTTCAACAACCAGCACAACAACTGCCTTTGGAGCAGAGAGGCTCGTGTGCTTTTGCTTAGACAGCAGACCCATTGAAGCACAAACATTCTTGACATCTTGCTCTCTAGAAGTGGGAGGGTTTTTATTCTTTTTTTCCTCTGTGCTTCCTTTAACAAGTACATGTAACCTAATGTGTTCTTTCTTACTGGGTTACTGAGGATAGTATCAATCTTCTCCTCTGCTGGACAACCCCGTTCAACTTTACATCTGTATGCCATCAGTTGCTGGCGGTCCTTCAAATCTTTGTATGTCTGGCAAATATCCAAAAGAGAAGCCAGTTAAACAAAACAACTATTTTTTTTATCAATAAACTCAAAATCACAGTAATCCTAGACAGTTATCACCCCATTCCTTCTCAGTGGCTTTCTAAAAATCCTGCTGCTTCATCCATAGGCTGATATGGACTTAACAGCTGCCCCAACAAAGACTTGAAACTTTCCAAAGGTGCTTTTTCAAAAGGCAACTGGACTTCGTTTTTCCTTGAAGACATTTCGCTTCCCACCCAAGAAGCTTCTTCAGTTCTGACTCAGTTCAGAATTGAAGAAGCTTCCTGGATGAGAAGCGAAATGTCTTCAAGGAAAAACAAAGTCCAGATGCTTTTTGAAAAAGCACCCTTGGGACAATCATGACCTGGATGACTGAGAATCTCCATAGACATTTGGGACTTTCCTTAACTTTTTTTGGGTGCAGAAGCAGTCAGCACATCCTATTACCTAGTTCATTCAGTTTACACATAACATTCACTTTTCTATTCGTTTAAGTTAATGTGTGATAACTGGAGTGTAAGGTTAACAGTAGAAGGCTAGCTTTAGCTAATACTTTTCAAGCCAATATTTTATTTCTACTTTTAGGCTAAAATGATAATGGAAATGGGCAACATTTAGACAACTGATGATGTCTCTTAGATGTGCTAGGTCGTAAATTCACTGACTTCTATCAAATTGGCAGGTTTTCATGGCTGTGATTATGGCTAAAGAAAAGGGCAAGCATCTGTCAATGGCAGGAAGACTAAAACAAGATAGCAAAATATTTTCCTTATCTTCCAGAGATTTCCTTTCCTTGACCTAGAAGGAATTCCAAAGAACCTTCTTGTGTGACTAGCTACCAACATGAATTTTTCTTATGCTTTATACTTAGAAGAAACACTCTAGTATGCATAGCACTGCCTAAATAATGCACTATGGAATCTGCTGGTTTTATACCTTTATTACATTTTACTGAATCAATATACAGGCAATCTGTGGAAAATTTAATGTTTAATTTATGGAAACTGAGCAACACAGCATTAAAAAACTGAGAAGAAAACTGAAAGAGATGAACTCATGAGATAGGGAAGGCTATTTTGTATATCACTTAGAGTAGCAGTCCCCAACCTTTCTGGCTTTGCGGACCAGGGGCAGGCATCTTTGAAATGGCTAAGGAGGATGTCTTTCGGCCAGTTCAGTTTGCTGGCAATGGCCCGGAATTCTTGCGTATATTCAGTAACGGAGGGGGCAGTGTGAGAGGAGATGGTTCTGTGTACACAGCTCCATCTGCGCAAGCACGCTGCTTGCACAAATGGAGTTGCGCACATAAGCGCACTTGCCTGCTGCTTGCGTAGACCGGTTCCTGTGACTTAAGAGTCAATTGATTGCTTCATTGTAAGTGAGCTCAAACTGTAATAGAAGCCACATCTTGTTCAGAAGGGTCAAATGTAATATGCTGATAGTGATACATAAAAGCTATACTGAAAGGAGCAGACAGCTGTTCTGGGATTTCTTTAAACATATCAGAAGCAATTTTAATAACATCGGGGGATTGAGGGAGGCAGCAGCTCTGAAATGCAAGCTACAGCAAACTGCTAATGATAGTTCCTTCGGGTATTTTAGGAATAATTTAGGAACTTTTGACTAAAGAATAAACCCTTGGCTTCTCTTGTCTATTCTACCATTTCCCACAATCTCTTGGAAATGAATTTCAGCAGTGAATACATACATCAATAACAACATCATGGCACTTGTATTTCATAGCCAGGTTCAACTTTATCTCAACATTTTCTATTAAACGCACATATTCCTGCAGGACCTGTAGGAAAAAGACAAGAAAATATCAGCAGACTATTCATGATCCCTTGCTCATCTCCCCTAATTTAATTCTACATCAGCTTCACCATGAAATAACTTCTATTTTACCCCAAATTATATTTCTTCACCAACTATTTCCCAAAAGGCAGATGGTCAACTCTATAATCAAAGATGTATTAAAACAAACAATACATACAAAACTAGAGAAATACCTCTTCTAGTTTTCATGTGTAATGTATAAAATTATTTGGGAAATGAACAAAGACTTTTCAAGAGGCAGGCAACAGCCTACTGATCAGTGGATAACACCAAAAACAGATAGCTTGCTCACTTACCTGCACTGGGGCGTTGTTCCGTTGCATTATCTCCACCACTCGATGGAAACCAATAGGAGCTCTTTTTTTGGTGTAGCCTAACCAATTCTGAAATCACAAATGGGAAAAAAAAAAATAGCAACCTGGGGATGAGATGCACTGCTAAACATTATTTAGGAGCAAGCAATAGTTATTCTTGGATAGCTCATTCACTTTTTGCATATGTCCTAAAAGAAGATGCATTCTTTCTTGGACAAAGCTGCTCTCCTTTTCTGATGGAACTTACCGGTAGGATACATTAGAAAATTCAAAAAGAATAATTGGAACAAGTCTCTATCTATAAATGGACTATAGAAAATCCCTTAAGCATTGTGTAAGGGCAGACAGATAAGCACATGACTGGCATAAAGAATCATTATGCCAAGCAATATGAATCAAGGATACCCATGATTCAAAGAAGGTCAGTAGGGTCTCACCTTTGTTGTAAACAAAGCATCCACATCATGCCAAGCTCGGAGTTTGGCACGAGCAGCCAGAGCTGTTAGCACATACTGTTTATCTGGAATCTGTAAAGTAAAGAAATGGAAATTCTAGAAATAGCTTGAGAGAGTTAGACTGTGATCCAGTGTGAAGTAGTTAAACTAGTATATTCGGTTTCAGGAGACCTAGGTTCATATCCATTCTTAGTTACAAAAGCTCACTGGATGATTTGAGGCTAATCGTTCTCTGTCAGCCGACCCGTCCTAAGTTGTTGTGAGGAAAAACTAGAGGAGAAAATACTTTGTCTGCTGCCCAAACCTCTTGGAGGAAACTAACAATGAAAATAAAGACAATTAAATTGTGTATCTTTAGTCATCTGTTGGTTGCTGAGATTCTTGTAATGAAAACTCAATTTCATGGCCCTTGGTCTGTTCTAGCAAGGATTTCCTTATACCTTATCCAACAACACATTATCTGGATGTTTTCCATACTTATTTGTATTACATTGTTTCAAAGTTTTTCCTATTAACAATGAATCATGTAAAGATCACAATAACAATAAAACTAATAAAAACAATAGGCCATGCAAGCAGTCAGCCTGCCTCCAAATTAAAACATATCACACATTAGTCAACACTAGCCATTCAATATGCCTGGCAGAATTTTACAGGTGAAAAGGGGATAATGCAGCTGTCTGTAAATACAATCTATAGCCCTGAACAATGGTGCAAAAGAAAATTCCTCCCAACATCAGGCCAAATTGAATGTAATCCTAAACTCACAGATACCCTGTACTCTAAAGTAAAGATGAGGAGCAAGTGAACAGACTTAAGCTCTTGTACTCTAGTATTATGGCTGTGAATTCAGTCTCTTAAGATCAGTACAATGAACACTGCCCAACTAAGCTACTATAACTAAGCCTTGTCACACTTCATGGTTTTAGCAGCACAATCCCTTGAATACCTTCATTCCATAATACATATCCTCTGCATACATTTCTACGATCATTGCTCTCTTTTAGAACATACATATGTATGCTTGGCAAACTATCAGTTTCCTTACCTTGAAGGTTTTCTTCAAGTTTGCTGGACTACTGAATGTTCCCTGGAAAAGAGAGACATTGCAACTGTTATTAAAATATTTTAACCAAGAAGAAAAAGTTGGTAACAAATTATATATCTTGGCATATTCAGGTCTTTTCCCATGTAAGATTGAGAGTATCTTGGCGACGTTTTGACGAGGTCCCACTCGTCATCTTCAGGCTGGGGTCTTCGGCTTCGTGCTTGTGCGAGCAAAGTGTGATCAGAGCTGCCGTCTCTCTATAAATATTGGTGGGGGTGTGTGGAGTGCTGGCTTAGTTGCTGTAGGTGGGTTGGTTGGCTGTGTGGGAGTTATTGTTTGCGGATTGTTTGGCTGTTTCGTAACATCCTGAGTAGTTGAGGTGCTGGCTGTGTGCCCATTAGTCTTTTGTGTTATAACGATCTGGGTAATGGGTTGTGTGATTAGATAAGGAAGCCTTATCTAAACTAGCCAAAGAGAGGATAATAGTATTTTTACATTCAGTATATCAAATATTGCAGTATATGAAGAGTGCATTATCTATCTGAAGACTATACAATATTTCAGATGTCCACTTCCATATGGTGATACATGGCTTCTCCTTTATTCTGAAAAGACACCAGGCTCCACAGATAAATACAGAGATCCCCATTGCTACTGCAATTCTAACCTCAGTTTCTGTGTAATGGTAGAAGCAGGAGTAGAAAAGCGTGGTGACCAATGGCATGTTTAGAATGGAAGCTTTTCTAGGGTATTTTCGAAAGATTTCTGTCTGCCCAGATGACTCTAAATGTTTGTCATTTGCCTAGAAAAAATCAGAACAAAAATGAGTTGTATAGGGATAAAGACATCTAGTGTTACATCAAAACATTTTTTTAAAGTTTCAAAGACAATCAGGATTAAATCCCAACAAGCGGGTTGCAATCTTTTCCATATTTACACAGAGGTATATCCTATATTTAGAAGTGTTTTCTCCTAAGAAAGTTTGGACAGAATTGTGGTCTTCATGAATTTGTTCCAGTCATTACCTGTTAGCTTAACTTACTGAAGGACGAATAGGATAAACCTTACATTAGTAATATCCAGGGCTTTTTTTCTCATAAAACGCCCAGAATGGAGTTCCGGCACCTTTTTTGGATGGAACCTTGTAGGGTAGGCAAGGCGGGTTGTATGACGTGTGTGAGTTCAGGCACCTTTTTTTTTTTTTTTAAAGAAAAAAAGCACTGGTAATATCTGTAACCTAGCTTTATTTTTCTGAGATCTCATGGCAATAATCATGCAAGCCCAGGAAAAGATATGCCTTTTCTAAGGAGTTCTGACACAATCACCCAGCATCTACCATGGTGGCTCCATTATGGAGGCATGGGCAACTTTTCTAGCCTTGGGGCAATATCTTTCTTTTGTTCCATGTCTACAAGGTTTATGATAGGTTTTTCTCCTTAACCCTCTAATCCAGAAATGAGGAAAAAGGGGATTTAGCATTTTGGCCCTGTCTACTTTTCTTTTTAGTCCATATAAAAAGCCAGGTGTTACAACAAGCAGGTCGAAGCCAAGAAGTCTGGAATAATCGGCACTGTCATGTACCCACTGGCAGAGCGGGACCTTACCTCAATGATGATCTGCCTTTCCAAGAGTGTATAATGATCCTGAACATGAGCAGCATCCTCTGATGAAAAGGGCAACCTAGATTGAAGAGTGGTGGTAATTCACTTTTGCATTCTTCCTTGGTATAGAACGTAAACATATTTATTCTAAAGCAGATTCAGTGAGGCAATCTCCAGTTGGGTATCCTACAAGTTACCAAAGAATAACCCTGGCCTAATGAACTTTACAAGCTATTTACTGAATACAAAAAGAGCCATGTGGGTCCAGGTCAAAGGCAATGCCATACATTCTACTTGCCAAAGTGGTCAGTAGACATCTATGAAAAGCTCATACTAGCAGGCTCTTAAGCAACTGATAATTAGACATTACAATGCATTAAAACCTGGTAATGTTTAGGTAATGTAGCAGCAGCTATTGATAGTGTTATTCTTTATTAATTTCTCTGTGCTTCTTTAAAAGCTTTTCATGTGTTAACAATGAAAAGTGATTTTTGCTCCTACAGTTGGTTTTTTTGGTCCTAAATTTGCTGGTATTGCCTTATTATTACAACTGTAGGGAAAAACATCTCCCAATCTATATACTACGCAGTGCATAACTCTGTAACTACTAGATAACCCATACCCATCTCATTTCAAAGATATTTCCTCACCTAAACAGAGAAACAGAATGACCAAGGAGCAAAAAAGCAATGGGAACAGGAGCAACTTCCAATCTCTTGTCAGCTTCCCCATTAAATTTCCTTGTGGGAAGATGGCAGGGAGCATCTGAAATCTCCTCTCCCCTTCCTCCCTTTTTTCAGCAGGCAGGTTAATGGCTGCTGCTGGGTGGGGGAGAGAGTGAAGGATTGCAAGACAGGCTGGGAAACTGTCACAGAATGTTGAAAATGAAGTTCACATGACCACATCAGCAACAGCCAGTAGGACTGAAGCAGCCACAACTGCCCCAAATTTCATTCCCCTGGGAGTCAGATACCAGATTTTGGACACATTCAGTTAAGTATCTGAGGTATTCTGGTTCAAAAACTGTTGCCCTGTGATGCACCATTTCACACAGTTAAAGATCATGGCAAGGGTTTTAGTGGTATATACTGTACATGGCATTCTTTTCTTATTTCATCCTTCTCCCCAAAGAAAAGCCTCTTCCTTACAGCTTTCCATAGTTTTTACTTTGTGGGAAACAGTAAGACTTCCTTCTCATTACTTCCACAAGTACGTTGCCTCTAAGGCTTATTCTCCTTTTATTTCTCCATAACTTTCACTTACCCAATGCAACTTTTCAGAAACTCCTTTCTTTTCTCAGCATCCAAGATAGTCAAATGTTCACGGTATTGGGTCAGCTGGAGATGGTGGAAACAAGACAAAACAGGCTCAATAGATTAAGTATTCAATCAAGGCTGGGTAGCCCTGGCCACATCTACTCAAATGTTTTCCCTCCAGAGATATTAGTAATGTAATTTCCATTTTTTCCTGAGAATAAGTACTGTGTGGCTTGCCTTCAATTTCTCAGCATATTATTGTTTCCTTCCACTAAAAAAAGAGTCTAGGCAATACTCACTGCAACTTCCTCAGTTCTGTCCAGGAATCTAGAAAGGAAAAACATGTATCAGACCTGTTCAATTTCCTAATCAGACATCAGTTTTGGTTGTATGCTCACAAGGGCTTTTACCTCAACAAGTCTAGGAGAAGTTTTTGGTCTCCAGCCTCCTTGAGAAAATGTATTAAATGGCGCAAAGCAACTTGCCGCATCTCCAGCTCTCTGAACAGGATCTCTAGTTGTAAAGAGAAGAAGTGCTTGTCTAACAAGATCAGGTCTGAGTAATCCCCTCACTCTTTCTTTTGCTTAAGTATTTCACATCTGTTGGCCATCCTGGAAAGAAAGGATGGGAAGGGTAGTCCTATACATCTGGAGGGCACAAGGCTGGGACAAATCAGCTTACTACATGGTCAACTAACCAGAGGAAATGAAAGGATCCCCCTAGATATGCCAGATCACTGCATGTCAGTGCACTGCCTGTAGCTAATTGATGGAATGGGGGCGAAAGAATGTTGGATTACAAGGGAGTCTCTCATTTAGAAGTTCCAGCTTGAAAATTTGGTTTTTGTTGTATATGTGGCATATTGCTAAAATATGTAAAATCTGAGCAGTACCCTTATCATTAAAAGGCAATGATGCAATGTAACAATTAATGAATCAAAAGAAAGAGGGTTAGCAAGTGATTCAATACTGGAATTAGGAATTAGTTTTAGCTCAACAACATTGTGGTTCATCTGCTAGTTTAGGGCTACATTAATTCCCTGTTCAGCTTTGTTGTCCAAAGAGATCAAGCACTGTTTCAACAGCTGACAAACTGAGAGAGGATAGCCTTATTTTATATGTGATGGAAAAGGTAGTTTATGCGCTGCAAAAGTTCTAACAAGAAAGAAAATCTCACACACTTTACAGTAAGCCAAGAATAGTAAACTTTGAATTCATCACCAAAACAGGTGTTCTGTATAGGATGCAATTTGTAGCATGATGGTATTTATGGCAGTGTTTTTCAAACTTGGCAAATTTAAGAAGTGTGGACTTCAACTTCGAGAATTCTTCAGCCAGCATGCAAGCTGGGCGTTTCTGGGATTTGAAGTCTACACGTCTTAAGGTTGCTACGTTTGAAAAAAACTTATTTATGCTGATGAATGGGAACTGGCCTCTATGCTCAATAAATCTAATTATAACCAACAACATTTACCCCACTATAAAGGAATTACATCTAATTCATGTTATAAAACCAATAATTTATATTGTTTAAAATATAATTTTCATTGCCTAAAATGATTGTCTTGAAAAGCACAGGGGATCAGTCAGCTTGACTTGTACAAGAAGTAGGCTATACATACTTTATACACATACATTTATAAATCTAACTGGGAATCCTGGACATTACATACCTTTCCTTAAGGTTCTTTTCAGAAAAATGAGTATCTGCAGAAAAACAGATAAGAGCATTATAATCATCCATTCATCTACAATTGATTGATATCTTGCCTTTATTTGTACAACTGCTAAGCGAGATCTTTATAGATGTAGAGCAAAATGTCATCAGAATGCTGACAACACTCAATTTTATTTCTCTTTTCATCAGATTCAAGAAGGCAATGAAAGTGATGATTTGGCTATGTTATCAGCAAGGGCCAAAAATTGAAGTTCAGTCCAGACAAACATCGGTGCTCTCCGTGGATAGTTCATACATTGATGTGACTGGAGTTCAGTCCCTTCTAGGACTGCACTCTCCCCCTAAAGGATCAGGTTTGTCCTTCTGGATCCATCTTTAACAACAAGTTGCCTCTCTGGAATAAAGTAGCCTCAATGCCCTCTTGGATGCACTCCTTCTTTATTCCTATTTTTCAAAACATTTTTTAAAAGTATCTTAATTAACAACATTAAACAAAAAGCTAGTACATGCAGAATGCCAATCTCAAACAACCTTTATTTTCAAGAATGCTCCTGGGCTTAGGGTAACCCTTGGAGGCATTCTCAGAAAATAGGAAATGTAGTGAACAATAGTCAACATTTTCTATGGAAATATGCTCATTTGCCCACAATAAACAGAACAAAAATAGATAATGATGTGGGTAAGGAGGCAATAAAAGACTAGAAAATGTGTGGGGAGCACATACAGTATATCCATTCCTCATTTAGCAGCTCTATTCTGATGCAAAAATCACCGAGTCCTGCCATCTTATTCAGATAAAGTTCTCTCATATAGCATCCTGTGCCCGTTTTTTGTTTTTGCCTCTTTGCAGGGTGGAAAGATTGTTTAAATAATCTCTTCCCGAGCTGCTTTTCTCCGCAGTAGAGATCTCCCTAAAGAGTGCTAATCACAAATTAACAAACTCAGCCTCTGTGATTTTGTTGACTGATTGATTCATCAAATTTACTTGGTGCCTATCTCACAGAAAGCAACTTTGGGCAGCATACTGTACAATCAATTAGCAGATTAGAACCCTCTCACCAACTTGCCCTGCTACCTAAAACTGACCTGACATTAATCAGTTTCATACTGAATACTTTTTTTTGTCAGGGAGGTAAAATATGTAAATATGGGCATAGGTTGGAAAAAAAATCTCATTATTGTTTATTACCATCGTATTTACTAATAATTGCTAACTAAAATAATTGCTAAATAAGCAGTGGCTGTAGTTCTGCCTTTTTATAAATGGCCACACTCACACTGGCAACTACTTTGTAAAAGTGTTGGTAACATCATCCCCAAATTTCAAAAGTGCTCACTAGTTCAAAAACATTGGGGACCTCTGCTTGCATGATAATTTGGATTTTTGACACTTTAAAAATTAGAAAATATTTAAAGGCTGTTATAAGATTAATTCACTCTTCATTTCTTGGAGGCATGGGTAGCTGAAGCCAGGCCTTGCGTTCCAAAATAACAGCAAAACAGAAAAGTCAATTGCCTCATCCAGAAAATTCCACGAATTCAGGGAAATGATTTATGAAAAAAGTAATATAAAAGTAATCGCATACAAAGAAATAGAAGTTAAATGGGTTCCCCCCCCTCCACTATGATCAGAACAGGACTTACGGCTGTAATAACATTCCCATCATGCAGTGCAACAGCTTCATCCAGCAGCAGGAATTTGTCCTGCAAGGAATGGAACCTTTCCAAGGAACACACCTAGAGAAGAATGAGATTCATAAAGAAAAACAATATTGAAAAGCTCTTGGCAGGGTGCTCATAATAATAATAATAATGATGATGATGATGATGATGATGATAAAGTTGGAAGGGACCTTGGAGGTCATCTAGTCCAACCTCCTGCTCAGGCAGGAAACCCTATACCATTTCGGACAAATGGCTGTCCAGTTTCTTCTTAAAAACTTCCAGTGTTGGAGCATTCACCGCTTCTGGAGGCAGGTTCTTCCACTGGTTAATTGTTCTAACTGTCAGGAAGTTTCTCCTTAGTTCTAGGTTGCTTCTCTCCTTGATTAGTTTCCACCCGTTGCTTCTTGTCCTGCCTTCAGGCGCTTTGGAGAATAGCCTGACTCCCTCTTCTCTGTGGCAGCCCCTGAGATATTGGAATACTGCTATCATGTCCCCCCTCGTCCTTCTCTTCATTAAACTAGACATACCCAATTCCAGCAACCGTTCATTATATGTTTTAGCCTCCAGTCCCCTAATCATCTTTGTGGCTCTTCTCTGTACTCTTTCTAATGTACTAGGGCAGGGGTAGGCAACCTTGGCTCTTTTATGACTTGTGGACTTCAACTCCCAGAATTCCTGAGCCAGCGGGAGTTGAAGTCCACGAGTCATAAAAGAGCCAAGGTTGCCTACCCCTGCCCTAGGGTATTTGCAATGGAACTACACTTGTTTAGTTGATTGTGTGAGCAATTCCAGAGACAACTGCTGGAAGTGATTGTTTTCAGGGAGACAGCTTTAGCCTAATTACAAGTCCCAGGAACTTCAGCCACTGAGAAAAACAGTTTTGTCATTTAATACTATGTCTCAAATGGTAAACACTGCATTAGGAATTCTCTTTCTAGCATTTTCAAGAAAATCTTGAAATCATTCTAACACGTGCCAAGTGTTCAGGCAGAAAACCCCAGTCATAACTCTGAGGATCCAGACGAATTGGAGGTTCTCTTTATAGCTCCCGGACAATTCTTCCTCAAGTAATCTCAGTTATTTCCTAATCTCCATGGCAAAGGAAAAACTGGGCAGTACCTCATATTCTGAGAACCTCACTTTAAACAATTCCTTAAGAAATCTAAGATACTTCAAAGGCATTAAAGCTATGCAAATTGTCAGATATATCTGACTGGCAGCTCTAAAGCAAATTGATTGTGGATCATCTCTATGTCTTCTAAATGTAGCTTTCTTCCATCTAGCCATCAATGCAGAGTTCTGAAGAATTAAAACTAAACTGATGGATATTTTTTTTTGCTCTGAGGTTGGCACAACATAATGCAGTGGTGGCGAACCTATGGCACGGTGCCAGAGGCGGCACTCGGAGCCCTCTCTGTGGGCACACATGCCATTGCCCCAGCCTTGCCTCCCCCCGTGACCCCCTCCTCTCCAGCAGCCCCCCTGAAGGAGAGTCGCCCTCGAGCGTGGCCCACACGGAGCAGCGCAACCAGGCAGCGTAGACAAGAATCTGCCCTCACACCCCATCATGCAGTTGATGCTGCAGGTCGCAGGCAGAGGGTGTGGCTGCCATAGTGCTGCCGGGCTGCCTGGGCGATCTGCGGAGAGCCCTGGAGGCGGTGAGTGGTCCTGTGGGCAGGCGGGGTGGGGGATGGGGGGGCAGAGCGGGGAAGGAGGGGGGTGGAGCGGAGGCGGGGCCAGGTTTTGGGCACTCGGTCTCTAAAAGGTTCGCCATCACTGACATAATGTATAATTATAATGTCATGTAAATGTAAATAGAATTATGGCAGTGGTAGCACTTGATAGTCTCCCATTGGTCTTCATGCAGAGGACTCATTTCCCTTTGCACAATAAGGTGTCAAAATGTGTCCCTTTGCACAATAAGGTGTCAAAATAAACAGAAAAGGAAACCACCAATAGTTATATTTTCCAGGTGATTGTGCCAAAGCAGTGTGAGCAACCCTTCCAAATAAATAAATAAATAGTTAAAAATAGGTTCAAAAGTAGGAATAAAAACGTTCTAATTTCTACACAGATAATCCTCGAGTTATGGTGGCAAATGGAACTAAACATTCTGCTGCTGAAAGACAGCAATACCTGTAGTCCTGGTTGCTGTTGTTAATTGAATTCCACAGCTGTTAAGATGAGGCAACTTTCTGCTGGCTTCCCACAACCCAGGCACTGGGAAAGCAAGCGGGAACTTGCAAATCCCAGGCAGCTTGCAAGCAGGCCAGAAGCAGGCAAATGGCTGCTGCAAGGTGGAGGAGGCAGTGCTTGATGGTGCAGGGAAGGCATGGTGAGTGATGGAGAGAGTCCATGGCAATGTGAGGGAGGCGCGCCAAGGCTCGGAGAGGGTGTGCCAGCGGGTGTCAAGGGGGAAAGGATTGGAAAGGGTGTGCAAGAAACGCATGGTGAAGGTTGGGGAGGTATGTGAGGATGCAAGAAGGTGCAAAAGAAGCAAAGGAGGTGTGGAGAGGTGCGCAAATGGAGGAGGTTTACGACCAACAACGTGCAGCCTTCTCTGCCATTTTCCCCACTGACTTTCTGGGGATGCCGGGCAGAAAAGATTGCAAATCACTGTCACATTATTGTGAGCCTTCTGCAAGTGGTTGTTAGGTGCAAGCCAATGGCCAAGCACTAGACTGCAATCACATGACTGCGTGATATTGGTACAGTCAGAACAATGAGAACCGGTCATAATCACCATTTGTTTAGCCCAGGGGTAGGCAAGCTTGGCTCTTTTATGACTCGTGGACTTCAACTCCCAGAATTCCTGAGCCAGCACAGCTGTGCTGGCTCAGGAATTCTGGGAGTTGAAGTCCACGAGTCATAAAAGAGCCAAGCTTGCCTACCCCTGGTTTAGCCCCATTGTAACTCTGAATGGTTGCTGGATGAATGTCCGTAGGCCGAGAATTATCTGTTACTTTTTAACCTTTTTGAAACATAAGATGAGCTTTCTGAAAGCTTTCATCCCATTTCCACTTCCTACCTTGCCTCTCTGCAGCCGTCTTACTGTATCGTTAGGGCTCCAATCAGCATTGTAATCCTGAAAGCGTAAAAAGAGTGAAAAGAAAACCAAATCCCTTCAGTCTTTTGAAAGATCCAGTTATGATGTCTGATTAAAATATATGGGGGGGAGAGAGAGAAATAACATTTCAGGCACCCTACCAGGCAACTCTCGGGGGACTTTTAAAATAATCTAGGAATACAACATATAGGCAGATAAGAGATCTTGGTTTGGAACCTATGTTTCTTATCTGTCACTAGTTTAATCACTGAGAGAACTAGGGCAGGGGTAGGCAACCTTGGCTCTTTTATGACTCGTGGACTTCAACTCCCAGAATTCCTGAGCCAGCATGAGTCATAAAAGAGCCAAGGTTGCCTACTCCTGAACTAGGGCATGTTTGGCCTGCAGAAGTGAAGCCAAAGGAGATATTTTGATTATCTCTCAGCAAATAAAGGAGCAGATGAACTTGTTCTACTTCATTTTGGATAACAGGATTAGAACCACAGAACCAATCTACAAGGGTAATAGGGTTGAATATGTTGTCCCATGAAGTTTGGAGGACTTCAAACAAAAGTTGTATACCCCCTGATTTTAGCTGATCAAGCATCAAGGAATAGTTTTGAGCCAGATGACAACTAAAGGTTTCCATGATTCTATGATCTAATCTCTTTTTTCTTCAAACATTAATTAAGAAGAAAAAAACCTCTTTTTAAACTCTTTTAAAACATGGAACTTGCTTCTAAAGAAATATATTTGCCTAGGAAAACACTGTTAGCAAACCAGGCTATAGTTATTGTATTGTAAGCTTCCAGTTTTCTTGCCTAGCTTTATAACACAATTATATGCGTAGCGTATGCATATGCACAAAAGCGTGCTCAGTTGTCCTTGGGCAAAAAGAGATGATACGAGCTTTTACATTTAGGATAGGGTTTAGTCAACTGACTCTAAACTATTTAACTCTCTCCTTCCTTCAGATTCCAATAAATATACTAACCTTATAATCTCCTTTTGGTCTGCGTAATTCTGGAGCATAATTTTTAAATCCTGTGTCTGTAAGAGCTGAAAAAGGAAGAGCAGACATTTTAAACTTTCTGAATTAAGTTCTCATCTTTCCATGCTTTTTTGCCCCTTCTATGGTTCATAGTCACCAACTTTGATACAGCACAAAAGTTAACAATAATGCCACTTAAAGCAAGAATAACAAAATTAAGAGTCTGAATGCACAAACAAAAGTCTCTGTTTCCAAAAACCAAAAGAAGCAAATAATGAGTTTCAAGGTATTATTTGCCAGAGTCCAAATACTATCTTGATTCTTGCCTAATTATTAGGGTATATGCTTTAAATATCTTACTGAAAATTTCAAATGCCAATTTGTCCTTCTTCCCAACTGGCGTTTCAAAAATCTTTGAAGACCTGGAATTTATGCTGAAAGCCGCCCTTAGTCATTTTGAAATGAGATGGGAGAAATTAAATGAGATAAATAAATAACTTCAGGCATGGGGTCTGGAGATTGGGTGAGCAATCAATGTAATTTGGGGGGGATGACTGTTGTTACATGGATTTGATTAAATTTTCTTTTATTATTTTCTTGTTCTATTTTGTTCTGTTGGTTTTTAATCTCCTGTTAACCACCCAGAGATGCAACTGGCAAGATAGAAAACTATATAAATTAATATAATAAACAAACACATGAATCTGCTTTGTGGTGACACTTGATTGCTTGGTTGCTTCATTTGGATACGCTACAAGGAGTGGGCTGCAGTCCTGCTCTATGGAAAGATATACATACTCCTCTATGTAGAGACAGCCCTACTCCTGTTCTCCAGTCTCAGCATGGAACAAGGACTGCAACTTCTACTAGCTGCTATATCCTGGCTTTCTTTCTTTTCTTAATGGCAGGGCCAAATCTGACACTACATCCTGAACTGAGAGCATATATGAAGATGCAACTAATTTCTCCAATGGTGTATCAGAAGCAACATTCCTTTGAGCAAGCTTAAGACTAAATTCAATCTTCTTACCATCTGAAAGTGATTGAAAACTCCCATGTTTATTTCTTCCTAGAAGTAAAGCACAAATATGAAAGACAGGAATGAAGTCATTATTTCCTCTAACTAGAAGCCTATTCAGCCACTAACTGTAAAATAAATGCCAAACAGCATACATTAAGATGTGTAATTGTGCATCGTCTAAGTACATCTCATTTAATAATGTTGAACAATGGCTGAAGACTGGATAGATTTTTTTCCTTTTCTCAAAACCAAATTTGCCTATGCTGCATTTATCCTGTTGCCAAAACTGTTAATTCAGCTGGAAATATAAAGAGAAGGAAACATTGTATTTCACATAACATAAAAATATTTTTTAAAGCATTAAAAACAGTGACTTTTGCACAGTAAGATACTAAGTAATAAGCATATAGAGTGCATAACAAATGTTATCTTGCACAGACTTGCTACCAAAATTGACAAACAACTGCTCTAACAATATTCTGCCAATCACAAGTTAGGCAAGAGCCAGAGTAGAAGAAATCTTTTGATCAGGCAAGCTGAGAAATGCAATTCTGATGCTTCTGAGGATGGCTCTGTTGAACACATGCCCCTGTAATCAATATCCTACCTTTAAAAAAGCTACTCAGTGAGTAAGAAGAGGATTGCTTGGGTATAGCTGCATAGGAAGAGCCTTTGTGCTGACTCAGATCCCTCCCTTCAGAGGTACTGCTGCTACCGCTGCTGGAGGCAGTCTCCTTGATTGACCATGAAATGCCTATAAAGAGAAAGAGAGAGAGAGAGGGATCTGCAAAAAGGGTATCATTCTTTAGCATAGAAAAATGTTATTAAATTTATCTATTTTGAAAATGGCAAATTTTCAACTAAACAGGAAATGAAACAGTATGTTTGGTATAGATATCATGATACTTTACAACAGTAAAATGACATTTTTAGATATTTTAACTATTCTCTGCTTGATAACATAGTTTTATAAGAATTTTTACAAGCCAGTGATTTCAACATATTAAATGTATAATTTTAGATATTTGGTATCTAAATATTTGGACTTTTTTCATTTTTCTTGTTTTTCTCGTTGTTTAGGTTTTTTGTAGGTTAGTATTTCAAAACATGGTTTTATCAGCGGGCTTGGAGACCACGGATGGAGACCAAGCAGATCAAGTGGCTGATTTGATTGTGTTGTCGCCGTCATGCGGGATAGGGTGGGGGTTTTTTTAAATGGGTTTTATTATATGATGGGTTTTTTAAACTTTGTAAGCCACCTGGAATCATCTATATGTAAGTTGTGTAGCTATATAAATTTATTTAATACATAAATATTTTTATAATGATCCTTTTTACAACTCAAATCTGTCAATACCAATTTAACATTCTTAAGGATTTATAGCCGTTGATCTGGCATTATCAGATATTCCAGTTCTTTAGTTTATGATAGATAAGGGATTTCCTTTGAAGTTATTGGAGAGACTATTGTTTACTTTCAATTACTTTTTTCATTAATTTTTCCTTACTAAAAAAGGAAATTTGGGCAAAAGAAAATGAATGAAGGAATGAACCCATTAGACTTTGCCACTACCCAAACTTTAAACATGGATCTTCTCCAAAATGCATTTAGGGTGTAGTTCTGATTGATAGCTCTGACATCAACCAAGATACATAGACTTATGCTTTAAAGGAATTTCCCCAAATCAAATGAAGTACTATTTAACTTACTGCCCACACGTTCCCCACTCCAGTTGAACCTTTCAAGGTCATCATCATCATCATCTGTAATATCTGGAAGGCTATTGACTGCTCTCTTGGATTCCTTCAACTAGGAATAAAAACAATGTTAGGATGAAGTCTTGATTTCTTCAGAAGAAAAATGTATTTTTCCTAAATGGCGCACATATCTATTCTTAGATCCCCAAAAAAGTTCAAGGTAATATCCTCAATTATTCCAAGTATCTGAATCCATCTATAGATGCTAGATACACATGGGATAAAATATTAATAAATGTAATGCCTATTTTGAGTTACTCACTATATCTTTCCTTAAGTTCTATTATATTTTATTTGGCATCCATGTTTCACAAACTTTGAATTTATTTATTTTGGTGTTTTAAAGTCAGTCTTGACTCCGACAATTACTGGAATAAGTCCGTGCAGTTTTCTTGGCAACATTTTTGGAAGTGGCTTGCCCTTTCCTGCTTCCCAGAGTGAAGAGAAAGTAACTCGCCCATGTTCACCCAGTTGGCTTTATGCCTGCAGTGAGAATAGAACTCATAGTCTCCTAGTTTCTAGCCTGGTGCCGTTAATCATTAGACCAAAGGTTAAAAAGGACTTTAGTATTACAGAGAAATTCAGACATACTAACTCTGTACAAATCTCTGTCATATTTATCAGCTTCATCTTTACACTTAGTTCAAAAAACCATTTTGCTCTTGAAAATCTAACAGTAACTTGGCAACAAGCAGGATCTATAAAACAGCATAAACACACTGTGGAGAATCAGAATCTAAATGAGATCTGTGTTTCCTTTACTGATTGAATTCTAACATATTTGTCCTATAAAATGATTAGAACTTCTCTAGATGTCAAATCAAAGGCCAGAATGTCCTGAAAGTCGTTTTTGCTTCCCAGAATCAGATCATTTATCTCCTACTCCATCCTGAGTACAACCGAGGGACACGGGGTTATTATACTCTGTGTTCTGACTAGAGTTTGAGCATTTAGTGCAGTGGTGATGAACCTATGGCACGCGTGCCAGAAGCGGCACTCGGAGCCCTCTCTGTGGGCACACATGCTGTTGCCCCAGCCTTGCAGCCCCCCTGGAGGAGAGTTGCCCCTGAGTGTGGCCCACGCAGAGCAGCACAGCCAAGAATATGGCAGCCAGGCAGCATAGACAAGACTCTGTCCTCACGTGCCATTGTACACAGTTGATGCTGCGAGGCACGGGGAGAGGGCGTGGCCGCCATGGCGCTGCTGGGCTGCCTGGGCGATCTGCGGCAGGCCCTGGAGGCGGGGAGTGGCCCTGCGGGCGGGCAGGGGGTGGGCGGGGCAGGGGGTGGAGCAGGGGCGGGGCCAGTTTTGGGGCACTCGGTCTCTAAAAGGTTCGCCATCACTGATTTAGTGGGACCGCTATATTTGTATTGTGGTACCACTATAAGATAACTCATCTCTTAAGATAAACCCAGGTTTTCTTAGATACACAGTCCCTATTGGCTACAACCATTCTTCTCAACAAAATAAATATTAGCTCTGTCATAACTCCATAGGTTATATATCAGCCATTCCTAAATTTCTTGAAATGTGCACTGCATTACAAATTCTAATTAAACCTGGGAAACCTGAGCATTTTTTTTTCTTCAGTTTCCTATGTTTAAGTTGAATAAAGACCACAATGTTCTCCTTCCATAGAACAACCACTCTTTTCCTTTTCTTATATGAGGCTGCTTTAAAGTGATGCTGCAGCCCAATGCATTCTGAAGCCCTTCTTCTGAATCACTTTCGAAACTTGCATAGCCTAAGTTAGAGTTAGGACTGGTAGAACTGGAACAGTACTATACATTGGTGAATTTCTAAACTAGCAGTCCTGTTATAGAATTCTTATCCAGGATCCTCCTCCATCATTGGCAGTAAAAACAATATGTTTAGGCACTATAACCAGAGTTCCTATACACCAGGCTCACTTTTCTGAAGGGGAAAGTCTCAGCAAAGTTAGTTTCCTAGGAGCCCAGATTTTAAAGATGCCTCCTTATTGAAGCACTATCTCCTGAAGTAGAATAGAACTATTTGAAGATACTTCATGGGCTCAGTGCTGTCCCAGCCACCTCCTTTTTAAAGAGTAGATATCATACTTAAACCAGATTCTTTCCTATATAATGTGTATTAAAATAAACTCCACAACTTTTCACTTCAATAGCTTGAGCCATTCCTCCATCATACATACCAGGAAGCACTAACTTTTGTCCCTCTGTTGAGACATCAGATTAGAATGTACTCTGGGTGCATCACAACTTTTTAAAGGTTCATTCATTCCTACATTCTCATCTGCAAACACTTCAATAAACTTATAGCAGAGAAATCCATCTGACTAAAATGCCCATTTTGTATAAAATGGAAAATGGACTTGTCTGTTACATCCAAAGTCCCTCAAAATCATGGGTTTACTGTACATATTCACAGACAAATACTTTCACATGGAATAGAAATCTAAAACTATGAGAAAACAAGTGTACTTCTATGCATACATTCTTTTTCATATATATATGGAACCGTTCCAATATTTTTCTTCATCAACTTTCACCTTGTCATCTGGAAAATAAATATTATATTTTCAATCGCAATTGAGTTGTCGTTTCAGAGATATTTCCTTACCAGATTCCTCAATGCCTTCAATAATGACAGAGCTTCTAATATACTTGAAAAGTTCTTAAAAATTCAGGGATATATTCAAAAACAGCTCATGTTGAACTGTATAGCACAATAAAACACCAGCACAGGAAATGTTTTATGATATATATATTCACAAATCATAAGAAAGAAAAACTACTTTTTAATGGAATGAGGAAATTCAGTTCTGCACCAGTATCGCATAAATTACATACATCCAAACAAATGTGATTAACAGTTCTGCTTCCAATTTATAACAAAATCTGCAAAGTTATCCCTAATTTCTTAAAAGCAAAAATAAGATATAAAACTCTAATTCTGTATGCAGATTCCTACTTTCTCCAGAAATTCAGGCAAGGGCATGAAAATGCACTCTTTTCACCATTTTTTTTCATGATAAAAACTATACCTGAAGCAGTTCATCATCTTCATCATCAAAAGTAAAGGCCTTACATTTGGAACTGTTCCAATATTCTTCTTCATCAACCTTCACCTTGTTCATCTGCAAAATAAATATTATTTTTTTCAATTCAATTGGGTTGTCGTTTCAGAAATATTTCCTTACCAGAATCCTCAATGCCTTCAATAATGGCAGAGCTTCTAATATACTTGAAAAGTTCTTAAAAATTCAGGAATATATTCAAAGATGTATTGTCTCGAAAACAGTTCATGTTGAACTGTATAGCACAATCAAACATCATCAGCAAAGGAAATGTTGTATAGTATTTTGTATTATGTCAAATGTTATATTATTGTAAAATGCTTTATGATGTCATAAAATATTTATAAAATTTGCCAAATTTTTATTCCACTAAAGTCATGGTTCCTGGATTTGGGATGTATTCTGTCCATTTGAGATATCTAGATTCAAAAGGTTTTGCTCTAGGATGCACCATTTTGGCCAGGAAACATTACGGACATAAGAGTTTTATTAGTAGATAGATATATTTCTTTTAATCTATTTAGAAACAATCAACTGAATAACTACACATAAATATACATTTCCTGTACATATCCAGAGTACAGCATTATTATAGCCAAATGTTCAGAAAAGGAGTTGTATGCTGGATATTCTCAAAACTATAATGCATAGCCACTGAAACAAAAGTATCAATCTAACTCAGCGGCTCCCAAGCATTTCTATACCCCACACCCCTAGAACACTTCTGATATATTCTCGCACCCCTTACAAAAGTTCAAAATAACGAATTATGCATATACACTATAATTTTGAAACTTCTAAACCCAAATTTTCGCACCCCCTGGAATATCGTCTCGCACCCCTTGTTGGGAACCCCTGATCTAACTGATACCTATAAATAGCATACTATGAGGCAGCTCCAAGAAAAAGTGACAGAATATCCTTCTACTAACATTGCTCCTATCCTATTCTACTGACATTGCTCCATTGCCATTTTGATGTATCACTTGTCAATACATTCTGAACAATATTTCCACACATCTGCACATTTACAGAACTTCTATTTGCATCCATGAAATATCAATTGCCAAAGGTATCCCCATAGTGCCTCCCCACAGGATGTCAGTTCTCATACCAAGATAAAAACCAAAGTCAAAACTATCAAAATTATATTTCTCAAAATACTTTAATATTCCTTTTAAAATAAATATTCAGTGAAACACAGCTCAACTGAAATGAACATAGCTATTAAATTGGTGCCACACATATCTCTCATTATTTTTCAAAGATTCACTGCATTTGTAGCATAGCAGTTATCACTAACAAATACATTTTCGGAATACCGTCTGTTAAGTAATTGCTATATGACTAGGCTATTTACTATTGTATGTCATTCTAAATGGTAAAGTATATAAAGTGTAGAACAAATTAGCAGCGCAATTTTATAAGGGTTGTTTTATTGGAGGTTTAGTCACTGATCTGGTGCCAATTGTCCTCACATGGAAAATTAACTTGTATACTATTCCCAGGTACTTTACAACTAAACCTTTTGCAGCAGTACAACAATGATAGATTTCATACATGTACACTTGTCTATGTCTGTGATGTATTGGACGAAAAAAAGGCACATCTAGGGAAGATTTCACTCTAAATAAGGAGTACTAATATTCTGTGCCAAAACAAAGCTGCAAATAAATTTGTCCTGGATTTATTCCTGACGTTTAATCCCTTCACCTTCTCCTTATTAGGATCTTGGAGGGAAGGCCCTCGTTTCATTTCATCTTCATCCTCAACTGTAATTATATTTTAACAATATTTTAATAACATGGGGGAGGAATGAAGGGATAGTTTTATAGAGAAAGACTAGGGGATAGAAATTATAAAAATTGATGTATTTATATATTATAGGTAAATAATGGAATTGTATTGAAAAGAGGAGATGCTCGGTTGGTACCCCAAACTGCACTTGAGGAGGTGGTTAAGAAGGGAGATGGGATGTAGGCAGGTGGAAAGGAGGAAGGAGGAGAGGTTGTGGGTCTAGGGCCAGGGGTAGGCAACCTCGGCTCTTTTATGACTCGTGGACTTCAACTCCCAGAATTCCTGAGTCAGCTATGCTGACTCAGGAATTCTGGGAGTTGAAGTCCACGAGTCATAAAAGAGCCGAGGTTGCCTACCCCTGGTCTAGGCGGAGGAAGGAGAGGAAAGTGAATGAGGGTGGAGGCAAGGCGGGGGCTGCCGAGCGTCTCCGAAAATGTATTGAGTAGGATTATTATTTTTTTTGCTTGTGTATGTAAATGCATCATATTGGTATTTGTTGTTCAATTATAAAAATTAATAAAAATTTTATATAAAAAAAACAACAACACGGGGGAGGAGAAAGACAAAATTGCATTTGCCGGGATTTTTTCCTTTTTTCCTTTGCCTGTCCCAAGCTTAAATGGGAGGGGGGAGGGGGTTAGGGGAGGCCGAGATCCGTCTGAGAGGCGACACCGTTCGCCTATGCGAATTACAAGGGACGATCGGTGCAGCAGCAACCTCCCGCCCGGAATCCAGCTCAACCAGAGGCAGCTTTGATGTTCTCCACCCTAAACTGATGGGAGGAAGCGGGACGCCCCCAACCTAGAAGGAAATGTCGCCCCCAAAGAAACAAGCCGACCCAGATACCCTCGAAGAAGCAGGCCAGACCACGAGAAACGAGAACGAGCGAAGCGGCCAAGTTTCCGATCATGCGGGGTGGCGGTCCATGTTCAATAGCGAATCCGCCCTTTTCCCGGCGGAACGACTCGGTTGGGTCCCCGGCTCTCGGATACCGCCGTAGCCAGGGAGCGCAGGCTGCCTCCGAAAAGCATCACGGGAGTGATGTCTTCCAAGCTGTAGCCTCGTCTTCGATATATCAAAAAGGTATTACTGCTTAAGGAAACTACAATTCCCAGCACGTCCTCATATCTTGGTTTCCCGGGACGAAACGCCTTAAAAAAAAAATCGAACTAGAAGTTGAAATATAACTTCCAAGAAGCCATACTTCCTTTTCCGCTTCCTGGTTCACTTCGCTTTCATGACTACGGAGTCACGGAGGAGACAATATTCTTCCACACTGCGCGGTGCTCGTGTCAAATAGCTAAAGGGCTAAGAAGCGTACCCGATTAAGATACTGATTAGCGCAGTGTTTCTCAACCTTGACAATTTTAAGGCATGTGGACTTCAACTCCCAGAATTCCACAGCCAGCAATGCTGGCTGTGGAATTCTGGGAGTTGAAGTCCACATGCCTTAAAATTGTCAAGGTTGAGAAACACTGGTAGCGGAACCTATATATAGGCGAGACCGTGAAGATACAGCAAACACAAACTTACGGAAAATAATGAAGTATGTGCGCAAAGGATTGGATTTTGCGTAAAAATGTAAATTTTGGGCTTGTGAATGAATGAATGTGGATTACTTTAATTCGCTGGAGTCAAACCCCATACATGAAATATAGCCACAAAAATAATATACGTAACAGAACTTCGAAAAACGTATACTTTAGGATGGTCCCACCGGAGGTATCACATGTACGAGAGCCTTGTATGCTAAAACGGAGGACTTGGCTACAATGCGTGTGGCCTTTAAATTCCTGTTAGCCAAAGAATAATGCATTGGCCGTGCATTTTTGCTGTTTGGGCTGCAAGAGCTCTTGGAACAGAACCGGCACCAGAAAAGCGTTTTCTTTTCCTAATATCTCACTCGCAGACTGCCTTTCAAGAGGGTTCACACGCTATCCTGCATCTTGGTCGCCAGACTTTCAGCTTAACTTTTTTTTCCCCCGGATTATCCGCTCAGGTCGACCAGGCGCTGCCACCCGACTCAGCTGAGCAACCCGAAAAGTCTGGGAGTAGTCTAGTCCAGGGGTCCCCAACTCCTGGTCTGTGGACCGGCACCGGGCCGCGGCATACCAGAACCCGGGCTACACAAACAACCCAAGCCCATCCACGGGATGCAGACAGCACACGAAACCACGCCCCCTCCGTCCATGGGAAAAACCTTTCTCCGCGGAACCGGTCCCTGGTGCCCAAAAGGTTGGGGGGGGGCTGGTCTAGCCTAGTCTAGTCTATAGTTCCCACGCGATCGGTCGCTTCAATGGAGCGGAGTTTGCACCATAGAGAAGCCCCACCCAAACGGCACCCGGGGACCGAACACCAAGAGCAGCGCGCGTTATTTCCCCGCCCATAAGCCTTCCGCTGCCACTTTCCCCTCGCGGCTCCAGCGCCGGGCTCCAAATCCGGGGCGGCGGCCACTCTCTCCCCCATGCTCCCTCCGTTTCCATGGCGCTTCTGTGGAGGGGAGGGGAGGGGTGGGGAGAGGAGGAGAGGAGAGGAGGAGGGACGGAAGGAAGGAAGCTGGGCCGGTGACGGAAGTCGGGAGGCGGCGCGGTACCGGCGCTTCTAGTAGCTTCCAGAGGCGAGGGGGCAGCGCTCGGCTTCGACCGGAGCGGACGCGGCGGTGGCGGCGGCGGGAGCTGGTTCTTCGGGGCGCTGATGGCCAAGTGGGGAGAAGGGGATCCGCGCTGGATCGTGGAGCAGCGCGCCGATGCAACCAACGTCAATAACTGGCACTGGTGGGTGAGAGGAGGGAGGGCGCTGCGGGGCAGCCAGAAAGGGGCGGCTGCTTTCAGTCCCTGGCGCTGCTGCAGCCGCCGCCGCCGCCAGGGCCAGGCGCTCCCGGTGCCCGACGCCCTTCTTGCTTCGCCCGGGCTTCCCAGGCATCCCTCTTTGTGCCCGGCGTTATCTCCGCAGGGACCTTGGCCGGGATCCACGGGGACTTCTTCCCAAGGACGGGCGGGATTGGCAATGGATTGACTGTTACCCAGAAAAGGGAGAAATCCGGGCGGGGGGGGGGTACCCCACCCGGCCGGGGTACCTTTTCTTTTGCTGCACTGAATGACGGTATTTCTCTTCTCCGGGACAGAAATAGTCTTAATTTCTCAGAAACGTGCTAAGTTCTTTTAACAGCATTTACCTGCACAAGCCGGTAGTTTTTTTTTCCTGACAAAGAAATAAATGCTGTTTTCCGATACATCAAGCTGCTTTTAAACATAGGAGAGCCAGGGAGTAGCTGCGTGCATATACAGGCAGTGTTTCTCAACCTTGACCATTTTAAGGCATGTGGACTTCAACTCCCAGAATTCCACAGCCAGCGTTGCTGGCTGTGGAATTCTGGGAGTTGAAGTCCACATGCCTTAAAATGGTCAAGGTTGAGAAACACTGATATACAGTGTCTTGTGTTGGCCACTGTATTGGGCATACAAATTCAGGTGTACACTAGGTCCGTTTTTCCTGTCTCCAAGGCCCATCCACAACACCAGATATCAGCAACGGTGAAGATAAGTTGTGGCAGAATTTTTAATAATTTTGGATTCTGAAAATGTACGCAGTCCAGCCTTGACTGGATTTTATTTTTCATGTCATATGGTATTTTGTTATGCCTGACCTTTTAAAATCATTTTAGGCTATTACAGGTAGTCCTCGACTTGCAATAAATAGTTTGTTGAGTGACCATTTGAAGTTACAACAGCACTGAAAAAAGTGACATGACTGTTTTTCACACTTATGACTTTTAGAGCATTCCCATGATCATGTGATCGAAATGCAGCCGCTTGGCAACTGACTCATATTTATGAAGGTTGCAGTGGCCTGGGGTCATGTGATCGATCCCCTTTTGTGACGTTCTGACAAGCAAAGTCAATGGGGAAGATAGATTCACTTAACAACCGTATTACTAATTTAACAAGTGCAGTGATTCGTTTAACAAATGTGGCAAGAAAGGTTAGAAAATGGGGCAAAGTTCACTTAACAAATGTCTCGCTTAGCAACAGAAATTGAGTTTGTAAGTCAAGGACAACCTGTATTTTGACAGATTTGCTCACTTAGTAGCCACAAAGATGGTATTATATGGATGGCGAGAAAATATGCTCTCTCTAGTATATGAATTTCATGTTATCTAGGTAAGCAGTTTGAGAACAAGGAAAACATATTCAACATACTGTAGTAATATAAAATTAATTACAAAATGTAGAAAATGAAGAATTTTGCTTATGGCAGAAGTGGAAGACCAGTTCATTAGGGGACAGGCACTTTGTGTCTTTCTACCTTAGGACGTTTATGGATTTTTCTGTAAGGAAAGAATCTCCTTCCTAGATTATATTTATCTAGTACAATATTCTGTGACCAGAAATTGCTGGGTTATACAAATCAAATTAATTTTATTGCAGATTAATCCATTGTTGATTGGACAATCTCCATAACTACGCAGAACCTCTTTGTACAATTATAGTCTATGTGCCAGGTTCCAGTAACAAAGAGGACAACTGTTATCATCAGACTGTGTAAGTTTATCAAGAGCCACTTTTGGAGACAGAATATTGAATTATACGAATTATACGAATCTTGATCTGGTTTAGGAAGGACATTCTTTTATTGCCAAAAATAAAACACTTGAAAATTCTATAGATATAGAATAGTTATCCACAGTCAGTTGGTCTTGCACATTGATTTTCATGCCAGTTCAGATTTTGATCTTTTATTACAAGAGGTAGAAGCACCAAGTAAAGCCTGACTGGTCTTGGAAAAAGCTACGCCATATTTATACTTGAAAGATAGACGATAAGGAAATCTCATATGTATAGACTAAACCCTAGAAAAAGTCATTGGCAAACTTCTCATTATTGCCAAGGAAACAACATTGGAGGTGCTCATGAGTCACTAGGACAAACATGTCAAACACAAGGCCGGGGGGGCCGGATGCAGCCTGCGAAGTGGTTTCATATGGCCCGCGAAGCCATCCTGGAAACAGTGAGGGAACGGCCCCCTCTGCCTTGGCCCTGGCCCAGGCTAGCCGGGAGCCAATGTACAATTTTGTGGTGCCATCTATGCTGAAACGCATTCAGTCTTAGCTCCACAAGGCTGTCTGGAAACAGCAAGGAACCAGAAGAACCTTGAGCAGCAGCCTTGAGGAAGTGGGGCTGGGCTTGGTGCCGCGGGTGCTCAAGGCCAGGCTGGGCATTTGACCTCTGCTGCCCAGGGCTCCGGGCAGCCCGCACCACCATCCAGCCCCCCCCCCACCGCATGGCCTGAGAGGAACAGTGAGGCTCCTCCAGTGGACCATGCCTTGGCACTTGCCCTGGTCCCACCCCCATCTGCCAGAGACCCTCAGATCTGTCCCACTCCTGCCCAGGCCCCCACAAGCACCCTTGACGTGAACGATGTAGAGCTGGCCACGCCCACCCAGTAGGCCACACCCACTCCATGCCCACCCAGTAGGCCGCAACCACCTTGGCCACACCCACCCAGCCCCCTGAGGGCAACTGCAATGCTGATGCAGTCCTCAATGAAATTGAGTTTGACACCCCTGCACTAGGAGTTAAGCTCAACCAAAGTTGCTCACATCATTGTAATCAAAATAATGACTGCAAATTTGACTCATTTAGCTCTTCTTACTTGTGGGAAAGACTAAATCATGAAAAGTTTACTTATAGTAATATGCAAACCAAGAGTTCTGGCTTTTTCCCATCTTAGCAAGCAAGAGGCAAAAGCTGTCAAATTCCTTGGCTTTCAGTTAGTTACTCCTTATTTGGAGAAGATGGAATAGGATTCCTGGTTCACAACATGCAATAAGCAAACTTCAGAAGGAGTTTCTGCTGTTTATTTAATGGCCCTGCTAATAGAAGAGCCACATCTGAACATTATGTAGTATGAGACAGAATTTTTGGAATGCCCTTATTGTGACTTGCAGCACTTACAACATATAGTGAAAAATGAATTTTGAATAAGTTGGCAGATTCAGATAATCACCTGACTATTGGGGAAAAAAACAAAATGTGCAATATTTTTAAGGGTTGATGTGCATTAGATTACTTGGATAAAATGCTTTTTGCAATGTAAAGAGACTATTATGTTACACTATTTAGGGAGAGCAATATTAAAGTATTGTATTACAAAACCACGTAGGTTCCATGCAATCATGGTTATAGGTGCTGGTTGCTTCTTGCCCCTGGGATCTTCAGTCCTTTTGGCTTAGCACATTAAATGCAGACTATAGCCCAGTGATGGCGAACCTTTTAAAGACCGAGTACCCGAAAACTGGCCCTGCCTCCGCTCCACGCCCTGCCCCGCTCCACCTCCACCTCCATCCCTCCTGCCCACAGGGCCACTCACCGCCTCCATGGCGCTGCAGATCACCCAGCAGCGCCATGGCCACACCCTCTGCCCGCGCCCCGCAGCATCAACTGTGCACGATGGGGCATGAGGGCAGAGTCTTGTCTACTCTGTCTGGCTGCCATGTCTTTGGCTGCCACGCTCGGGGGCGACTCTCCTCCATGGGGGCTCCTGGAGAGGAGGGGGTCACGGGGGAGGCAAGGCTGGGGCAACGGCACGTGTGCCCACAGAGAGGGCTCCAAGTGCTGCCTCTGGCACCCATGCCATAAGTTCGCCACCACTGCTATAGCCCCTCTTTGGATAACTAGAAACATGAGCACTACTAGTATGTCATGAGAGAATGATGGTTATTTCTTAGACTGTGGGATATCTTAAAAGAGAAAAGAGTGAACAACTATATTAAAATTATAGCGCAGGAAATAGTAAGGGGTCCTGTATCTTTTTGAATTGCCAATTCACTCCCAAGGAAAACGAGTGTAGAACCATTGAGATTGTCAGCTGTTTTTTCCATTTTTTTCTTGCACCGATATTAAGTTGAGGAAGAAAGATAATAAAAGTGAACCAGTAACAAAATTTGCAGAGGTGAACAAATTACAAACTCTTGATACAATTCAGTGCAAAATATACAACACTGCATGTTTAAGTAAATCCTACTTGAAACATAAGCATAAATGCAAAGTGTGTGCTATTACACTTTTTCCTTTTTTCCCCTCTTAGGACTGAAAGAGATGCATCTAACTGGTCATCAGAGAAGCTGAAAACACTTTTTCTGGCCGTTAGAGTAGAGAATGCAGAGGGCACTTGTGAAGTGACAGAAGTGAGTAAATTAGATGGGGAAGCCTCTATCAACAACCGCAAAGGAAAACTGATTTTCTTCTATGAATGGAACATTCAATTGGCTTGGAAAGGTGAGTTGCTATTTTCTTTTTATACAAGAAGACAAATGTTGTTAATACTAGATATTATCACGAAATCAGGATCTCTGTAGTGTTTTCAAAGAAATACAAAGGACTGGAGAATTTATATTTCCATTTCTAGAATGCCAAAACTTGTTAAACTTTGTTGGGAAAGTGAAATTGAACCAAGGTTTTAATTTAAAATTTAAAATTAATTTAAAATATTGCTGCATTGCAGGTACCTCAAAAACAGGTGTGCAATATAAAGGGCATGTGGAGATTCCCAATCTTTCAGATGAAAATGATATCGATGACATTGAGGTAAATTTGATAGTTCTCAAAGTTATTTCATTGGAAAGGAATTGCAGATCTCATTGCTGTTGTTTTTGGAGAATTTTGGTTCCCCTTCATTTCTCTGCTTGATTTTATTTTTTTTTAGCAGGTGGGAGTATATCATAAATTGTGACATAAAGAGGTGTACTCAAAATAGGAAATATATTTTGTTCTGTGCTCAGAACAAACCATTGCATTCTGGGAGTTTTGCCAGACTGTGTTGGATTGGCCCACAATTTGACAGAAACAGAACTTGGAATGTTTAGCTTGTTGTAGGTTTCAGCTAAATTACAGTGTTTCTCAACCTTGACAATTTTAAGGCATGTGGACTTCAACTCCCAGAATTCCACAGCCAGCATTGCTGGCTGTGGAATTCTGGGAGTTGAAGTCCACATGCCTTAAAATTGTCAAGGTTGAGAAACACTGAGCTAAAACAACATCTGGAGGGATGTTGGGCTGGGCAGGGCAGGCAAAGCTAATATGGATCACCTTCTTTATCTCCTCAGCAACTCCCAGAATGATTTATCCTTCCCCCCCCCCCCAAACTTTCCTTTGCTTTTCTTTCTTTCCCTTAGCTACCGCTATCGATATACTTGGCTTTTTTCTGTTCTTAATTCCTGCTGTCCCTTACCCAGAGATCTGAAGTGTACTGGAACAAAAGCATTTCATACTCTTTGCAGAAGAAAACTTCCAAAACGCAGAGTTTCTGTTTGGTCTCAGACCTCCTAAATGAGCAGTCATATGCACAGGCTGGCTCGTGTATGGAATATTTTACACATCCCTATTGCTTCTAATATACAAAGGCATAAAATATTTTTGATATTTTCTGAAGAAATGATTTTACGAAGCAATATATGATATATATCAGGGCTTTTCAACCTTTTCACCCATTGTACCATTTTTGGGATATGGCAATATCCGAGTACCACCAGTCGCCTAGCAAGGTGTCAAAAATCTGATGACCAAAAAAAAAGGGGGGGGGGAAAGTGATAGAAGTACAGGTAGTCCTCGACTTACAACAGTTTGCTTAGTGACTGTTCGAAGTTACAATGGCACTGAAAAAAGTGCCCCCCAAGGCACAGCCGAGCAAGACGCCTGCCCGCCCGGCGGCGCTCTCATTCACCTCCCCCGCTACCACTTTTCTAGGATGGTCGCGTACCACCTGCCAGGTGCCAAAGTACCACAGGTGGTACCCGTACCACTGGTTGAAAAGCCCTGATATATATGGTAAAAGCAGACATGTTCTATTGAGATAATATATCGTTTTTCCTGCTACTCTTAGATCAGTGTTAGTCTTGCAAAAGATGAACCAGATACAAACCTGCTATACTTGATGAAGCAAGAAGGTGCAAAGCAGATCAGCAATGCTATGGAAACTTACATCAGCACTCTTAAAACAGGTACAGACGGAACCCAGAAGGGACAAAGGGGCTTTCTGCTGAACTGTTAGCTTGTAAAAGGAAAAGAAGAATGGATTTAGGAACAAAGTGGTTTTTATATTCAATCATAAAGAGAATTCAAGGTTATGTTCATAGTCAGAGCATTCCTTATAGCCTTCAGAAGCTGGAAAAATAAATAATTGAAGGTGTGACCTCTGGATATAAAAAGTTGCCTATCCCTGTTAGATATAGTGTAATAGTCCCAATGGCTTTACAGATATTCCTAAGTTGGCTTTCTGGAGATCAGGTTTGTTTTTGTGGTGTTTGTTTTTAAGGTCTTGTAGAGTAGTTTTCTGAATACCAGTTGTTAATATTTTTCAGAATTTACCCAAGGCATGATTCTGCCTACAGTAAATGGTGAACAGTCAGAGCCACAGAATCATCCTGTGCATAAAGCAGATAAGCACAAGGTAAGCGTTAGAGTACCCAGTTTGAAGTAATATGAGTTTAGAAAGTCTAGGCAAAATGGTTTTAAAGGAGTCTTTTCTTAGTTCCTTTTCTTAAATGTCACTCAAAAGACAAGAGGATTTCTTTACATATTAAATAGCATAGTATAAAGTTGTCCTAAGCTTTAAATATTGCATTCTGGAATATATATACTGTATATTCTGTGACATGAATTATTCAAATTATTTAGCCAATGCAAAAGATGGGCTATTTTGTATATACTGTAGCTTGCTGTCAGGGATTGGTGGGTTCCAGCCAGAAACAAGATTAGCTGCAAGTTCATATCTTTGCTGCCACCACAGTTGCAAGTAATGCAACGATTAGCTTTATCTGAAGACCTTTTTGGGATGGCTATAGCTCAGAAGCAACTAAGAGGCATTTTAATTGTGTAATGTGTGATACTGTTTTAGATTAATGAACAGGTTGCTGGCAACAGTTCTACATCTAAATCAGTAGGAGTTAAGATTCCTACCTGCAAGATAAATTTGAAGGATATTTTCCTGACATCCCCAGAGGATCTCTACAGAGTATTCATTACCCAAGAGGTAAGTTAATACAGGACTTTCTATAGATGTTCTGTGCCATTTCTTGCCCCATATATAGGATTTTTAGTATGGTTTGCTATCAATCTCCTTCCCCTCCCCGGGTATCCTGCTTACCGTTATAGTTGGAGAGCAGTGATCAACTTGTTATATAGCAGTGATGCCTCCAGAATATTCCAAGGAAAAGAGCCACTTTACTTCTTCTCGGGATTATATTCTCTCAGAATAAAAGGTCCTGATTTGAAGCACCCTTTCTCTGATTTGAAAATACCACGAGAAATAGGAAGAGCTACTAGTGCCCCTTCATCCATGAAACTGCTCTAATCTTTAAAAGTATCAGTGAAAGTTAGTAGATGAGACCTGGAAACTAGAAAGTCTAATAATGGACTATTATGCTGGATTTTATTTTTTTAGATGGTGCAAGCTTTTACTCACTCACCTGCTGTTGTGGAGGCTGATAAAGGAGGAAAATTCCAATTGCTAAATGGGAGTGTCACTGGCGAGTTCCTTGAACTAGTAAGTTCATTAGTAATGACGAGTCGTTTGTATGTTATTTGGAAGTTGGACAGTGTCTTTCCTCTGGACAATGATCTCTTTGCCCACAGGATCTCGTCAAGTGTGTAAATTGTATGAATAAAGGCTAGTGCACATATGTCAAATAATTAGGTAAAGATAAAGATTTCCCTGTCCAGTTGTGCCTAACACTAGAGCACAGTGGTCATCTCTGTTTCTTGGCCAAGGGAGTCAGCGTTATCCTAAGACAATTTCTGTGGTCATGTGGCCAGCATGGAACACTGTTACTTTCCCACCAAAGTGGTACCTATTAATCTACTTGCATTTGCATGCTCACACTGTTGCGGGGAACTTGAGTCTCGAACCCGGGCTGTCGCTTCTCCAGTTGACAACTTCAGCGCTTTTAACTGCTGAGCCAGCGCATCCTTTGTTAAATAATTAGCATATCATAATTGCAAATATTGTATTGTATTGTATCTATAAAAAAAACTATGCAAGATAAGCTTGAAAGCAAGGTGGAGAAAGTGGGAAAGGGAAAACAACATTTTACAATCTTGTGAGAATTTTAATACATTCAGATTTGTGAGAGATGGGGAATTGAATTCCATTCACTTTGCTAAGAAAGATGAGGGGTGAATTCAGAGAAATATAAGGGAAGCAAGTAATTTTGAGAAGAGATTAACGGGGCATATACTGTACAGAGTGGACTGAAAAATAAAAATAGAAAGATGTGGCATGAAAGCTTCTGGTCATAGCAAAAGAGAAGAGAAAAATCTTGTTAAAACAAAAAATGGCAACAAGATATTTAAAAGATGAAACCGTATATTCAGTGGTGGGATTCAGCCGGTTCGCACCACTTTGGCAGAACCGGTAGCTAATTTTTTTTGCCCAGGCCCAGAATGGACTTTTGGAAATGGCATCCATACAGAGAACCGGTTGTTCACATATTTGAATGCCACCACTGAGTATATTCACAAACAGAATTCACTAATGCTAAGAGATAGTACTTGAACCCATTGAAAGGCACATTTATTTTGGATTAGAAAGCAAAGGTTTTTCTTAGAGAGAAAAGGGTAAAGGGATTTCAAGTTGAGGGGAAGAGAAAAGGAGAGAAGTACCTTTCTGGGCAGTTCTGGATTGCTTGATTTTTTGATTGTTGGTGTATGGAATTATACAAGAAGATGCAGGATCCCAGGTGAAATAGGAAGTATTTAGAAAGGGATATTATGCTGAGTTAAAAGAGAGAAGCCTGAGGAAAAAAGCCTCCATTGAGAGAGAAACAAAATGAATACAGGTGAAAATAAAATGGGGAAAGGGAAGGTGGCAGAAGCTAATAAGAGAATATTTGAAAGAAACAGAGAAAAAGTGTTTTGCCAAGTGGCTTTCTTCTGGGCTTGAATGAAGAGTTGCAAAGAAGTCAATTGCCAATTCTGGCTTCTTGGGAAAGATTAACTGAAAATTTATGGCTTAGAGACATTCTGATGCAGCTGTCCTTCTGCTTACAGTAGACTTTTCAGGGTTTTCTCAGGATCCATCTATCTTGGCCCATCCTTAGAGTCATGTAGCTGTCGCTTGCTTTAATATTTTATTCCCGAATGCTACTATAGCTGAGGAGGGGATTCTCTGGAACCACCCCAACTCTTGGGGCTTTTTTTTGGCCACCTAAACTTACCCACCTGCCTCCTCCTTCTCTTCCTCCTCCTCCTCCTCCTCCTCCTCCTCCTCCTCCTCCTCCTACTACTACTACTACTACTACTACTACTACTACTACTACTACTACTACTACTACTATTATTATGGAACATGCGCAAAAGGGGAAAAGTCTGTTTGTTTTTCCAGTTCTAGTAAGGGAGAAGTCATTGTCAGGTAAATTCAGTGGGTTACAGCAAGATTTAGATATCTGTGCCAAAGCAGTGCAAATTAAGGGGTTTCAACTCAGGGGCAGCTTTATTTTGCTCAGCTATCTGAGAGCGATGCTTTTCCTTTTCTAAGGGAAATGCTCTGTTTTAGCCCTGCACGCACCTAGCAATTAAACACTTCAGAGACACTTTATAGCAGGTACAGATATTTGACTTTTACCTAAGTAACAGTGGCTTTCCAATGAAGCCTCTCCCCTTTGGGGTATCCACATGAATATTTCCTTGGTAGATAAGTTCTCTTTCTTTTTTAGGTTTCTGCAAAGCAGATTGCTATGAAATGGAGATTTAAGTCCTGGCCAGAGGGTAAGTTATTTGGCTGCAAATATCATAGCAAAAGATGTCTAAGTGGAGATGGTAGGATGCAGATAAAGCTATTCTGAATGCAAGAAAAAAAAAAGTGCAAGCCTCATAGGGCTTGGCTTAGATAAATGCTCTGTTCCTTGGTTGAGAGATTCCTGTATCAGCTGCAGTGGCAATCTCTCTCATCGTAATGAAATATTGACTGCTGTAAAGCCTTAAGCATTTCACAGGATTTGCTAGGGATTTTTCTGGAGGTAGACTTCTACACCTGTATCACCAAGTGTGTGGTTAGTTTTCCTGTATTTCCTATGATGATGCTACATGACTGATTGTAACATTTATTTGGCTCTCTTAGGACACTTTGCAACTATCATATTGACCTTCATCGACAAGGGTGATGAAACAGAAGTTTGCCTAGAAGGGAAGGGCATCCCAGCCAGTGAAGAAGAGAGAACAAAAGAGGGCTGGCAACGTTATTATTTTGAGGGCATTAAACAGACGTTCGGCTATGGAGCCCGATTGTTTTAATGCTGGCTACTGCGGAGTCTCTGCCCAAAGATTCTGCCATGGGAACTGATTCACTTCTTGTCTGTTCTTTCTTATCCTCTGTTTCACTATTGTGACAAGCAGGATGGCCCCAAAGGCCACTGAGCAGCACCAATTCCGACCCCTGCCTGTGCAGGTCTCCTATTTCATGGGTTTCAAAGGTGGATTCTCATAAATGTACATATACCTTGTATTGCTAAATAAACATAACTTAAAGAAGAGGTACCATCTTTCTTATCTGAGCAAAGAAATCAAAAGAGCTTTTAAGCAAAGGGCAGAAGAGTTCTGACTCTTCATGAATAGAGAAGATCTTAATTCAAAAGATATTAGAAACTTGGGGTTTAACTAATGGGAACAGAAGCATTATATTTAAGATGCATCATTATGTAAGGGCATATTTTTCTTTTTACTTTTCAAAAATTACTGCCCTGCTACTAGCAGAGCAGTTAATGGCAAGCGTTTTCTAAACTCTGTTGCTGAAATTTCATGCCTAACAGTTGATGTGCTCTCATAGTCCATTATCTTTCAATCAGCTTATTCTCTGGGAGTGGACCTTTGTAACAGAAAACAGCACTTCCCAGAAAAATTCCATGTAGGGCTTTCAAAAATCAGTACTGTAGAATGAAAGTGTACAATGTGCATAATAGCATTTCAAGTGCATTGGAATCCAGAACAAAGACTATAAATCAGAAGAGAGCACATCTGCCTAAAATCAGCATTCAGTTGTAAAGTTTAGTACCTTAAATCTTTAGCTTTGAGAGTACAACTAAAGATATTTTCAGAGGCAAATTTCACTTGTTTTGTTCAGAATATATTTCAACATTACAATGAGACCAATAAATTATAACACATTAATTATACCGATAGATCTGAGGTTCCTTCAGGAAAATTGAGTTCTTGCTTGTATGTGGGGCTAGGTAGTAGTTGTACATATAGAATTTGTTTTTCAAAGTTGATTGCTTCCTTTGTTACCAGTGGTCTTCCGGGTGCGCTTTAAGGTGTTAGTTACCACCTTTAAAGCGCTCCATGGCATTGGACCTGGCTACCTCCGAGACCGCCTTCTGCCACAGATTCCCTCCCATAGACCGGTACGCTCCCACAGAGCGGGCCTCCTCAGGGTGCCGTCGGCCAAGCAATGTAGGCTGGCGACCCCCAGGGGGAGGGCC